AACTGGAATTCCAAAAAAACACTTTGAGCCAATCGGCTGCTAAAAAGACAGCTCTTAAAAAAACACAGGAAAGGTTGGATTAGCATGTACATTTTAAGAGTCGTTTTGCACATGGTTGTTCGTGTACTAGGACACTCATTTCCTTCCAATTGTGGACTGTTTTAGGATGTGCTAGTTCTCAGAATCATGTTCCATTGCCTTAAGTTGCTAACATTATTGGATTCATTGACAATTAGAGAATGATTAGACATTCTCAAAATAGTATCAATAAAACCTGAATAATTAAAACAAGGTTGCTTCCTCAGAGAAGACCATTTCTTCTGTACATGCATCTCTGTACATACATCTCCTATAGATGGAACGTAAAATGGTCCTCCACTGATTATTTTAATATGGATGTTGATCGATATGGAATCAGACTTTTTCAGCTATTTAGGCCCTAGAATTAGAAGAATTAGAAGAAAGTGCAAATAACTAAACAGAGATTGGTAATAGATTGGCAGCCAAATTAACTATTTCAAAGGTATATAATGATAATAACTACATAGATCAATCAGAAATAATATAGACTTCTGTACTTATTGAAGCTTCCAAACCACTTTTAAATACTATCTCAGACATTTAAAAAAATTACAGCGATCCAGTTGGAATAATCTGTGAATGGTAATGCTGACCAGTCTTTCTTATCAATAGCAACAGAAAAAACCTACATATGATGATGACATATCTTCTGAAACTGGTAAACAGTGTCTAATTATTTAAGATCACCTGAGTATATGACAACAGCATCAATGGCGACACTCACCCATTATAGTACAAGCTGAATATAAGGGAGCATATCTCACATATCTCACATATAATATACCAATTTTCCAGATCTAGAGATATCAATCCATTTTATCTCCATCAGCAATCCAAAGCATTTGCTAAAATGACAAATGCAGGTAGGAAAAAAGATGCTCCAGATGTAGATAACAGTCATTCCTAACTTCAAAAGAGAGCCAGACAATTTACTGACATCACAATATTTATCCTTTCTAATTTATTACTGACAGGTTTGTAGTTTTAATCATGGTGCCACAAAAGAAAAGATTGAAGAGCAAGATGTCCCCTATTCCTATAAAGGGAACCAATGGGTGGGCTATGAAGATGAAACAAGTGTTCAAATTAAGGCAAGTATTGTACGATGATTATTTATTACTTAAGTACCAATGGTGGTGATACAAATAGTGTGCAACAAGGTTGAAAAGAACTACTTCGTTTGCTCAAAAAAGAAGGCAAAAATGTTGTAGAAAAATCTCACTTCTATGCAATAGGGCAATTTTAGGCACACTTTCCTGGATTGGGAGACCCTGTACTCATTCACTCATGCTCTGGTCATCCACTGCAATGTGCTCTACATAGAGCAACTACCTCAAAGAATATTTGGAAACTACAACTGGCATAGAATGCAAAAGCATGGACCATTCTAGGCGCTCCTAGAATGGCCCATAATATCATGAGCCTAATAATGTTATCTGCTTGAATGCTATTTCCTGATCTTCTAGTGACTGATATACAAACAAATTCAAATTTGGGAAACAATAAGCCCTTTTGAAGATTTGAGACAAAGTGAAGATTGATACACTTCTGTGTGTGGTTTATGAGATAAAAAGTTCATGTAAGTTCATATTTGTTACAGAGTGGATATTGTGTTTGGGATTTTATTTCATTCCTTTCCCTCTCCCTCCTTTAGGTTCAGTATGCAAAAAACAACAATTTGGGAGGTGTTATGGTTTGGTCACTTGATCAAGATGATTTTTCAGGTACCTTCTGCAAGAATGGCAATTATCCACTACTTGCTGCTATTAAAAATGAACTAAATAAATAAGAACATGTATTTGCAAAAAAAAAAAAAAAGCCCCAATTTTAAATATCAATAGAATCTTACAGGTTAAGTCAAATTTTGGCTTTCTCTTAGGGATTAAAAATAAATTCTTACTTCTAAGTACTATACATGCTTAAAGTAGCATTACAAATAACTAGTTATTAGTTTTGTATTATTTCATTTCCTATTATGTATTGTGTATTTCCATTTTTTTTACTATTTCTGCAGGCAGTATGTGTTCTTTTGACATTATGCCTAGGCTTTCATTATATAAATAAATACTTGATCTTGATTATACTGTATTAAAAATGTTCATACGGTTCATTAAATGTGCTATCTCAAAAAAAAGTAATACTTTCAATAAAAGATTTGCCTCCCTTTACTTTGGTATTCTATATATCAGAAACTATGTTTATTCTTTTGATGAATGGAAGATGGTGAAGTGGAGCGCTTTTTCTTCAAAACACACCTTTTTCTAAAATAATTTTGTTTACAGTTGTAAACTATCACCCTGGACAATTCAGCTGCCCCTTCTTTGAACATCAACAAATTAATTCAATTTGATTTATGGACAAGCATTATATTACTTTTGTAGAATGAATATAAGCTAGATGCTGCAATAAATATCAAGCTGGATATATTTTTTTACAAGTAACTCTTGTACTTAACTGTTTTAGTATGATTGAAAGGGAATATCTTCCTTTGAGCACATTTTTGGCTTCAACATATTAGAAAATATCAGTGAGAGAAAAATGTATGATGTTACTGGGATAATAATATATTGAAGTTGAAGAGAAGAATTGGCTACTATTTGAGCACATGGACAAATTGTTTTCTAATTAGTTAATTTGAAATTAAAGTATAAACTACACATAAAATTTGGTGACCTGACTAAACACACAGTGGGTAACTATACTAAGCTTTTTACATAATACAGTGCACTCAGTCCCAGAGAATTCACATACAGTGTAGCCTATTTCAAATGATGACAAAATGGTCCCTAATGACTGATCATCAGCATAATTCAACTCAGATTTACATGTTCTCATGAAACCCATATTTATAGTTCTATATAAGCTCTGTCTGCTAAAATTAATTTGGTATGAAAATGCATATATAAAACACAAGTATCAGGAAGACCAGAAAAAAATGTGCTAACCCATTTTCCCACCAGCTGTTTAAAAACAACAAATGCAAACTAACTTTGTGAGAAGGAGGATCTGAAAGTGGAATAAAATTATCCATGCAAAATTCCCAGGTGTGGAAAGATTTTTAAGCACATCTGGCAGAACAGGGGTGTGTACGGTCCTTGGGCTGGATGCGTCACATGATGGCCCCGCCTCCACCCGGTTTAGCCAAGGGGAAGAAAGTTCCAATACGTCATGTGAGGCCACCATGATGACCCTATGGTAGAACATGAAAATTCACCCTCTGTCTTCCATTGAAGAAGGAAATTTGGGGTAGTACCAGTGGGAATGTAGATGCTGGGATTCAAAATGGCCTATGTAGCACCAAGCTCCCTCCTTTATTACTTACTGTGTATAGAACATATATCTCTACATATGAATGCTAAACCAAGGAAATGTTTTGCACATAAAAGAATATGGCATTTTTTATGGCCACAGTTTCTATGAAACAAATCACAGACCCAGAAACTACAACTAGGTTTGGAAATGACCTGCCTCAAACCCTGATTCCTGGAAGGCAGTGCTATTTTGCTAAGAGATAGGATTCCTATCTCAACAGTGACCCTTGCTCTTATCACTTCTCCACTGGACTATTGCAAGATACTTTATATGGAGCTATCTTTGAAGATCATTCAAAAACTGCAACTGAGATAAATTGCAGCAGTTCAATTACTGGCAGGTATTATTGCTAGTACTGTACCTATGTTTTTGACCCTACATTGGTCACTAATAGGTTTCTGAATACAGTTTGACCTATAAAGATCTATATGGTCACCACGCAGGCACTTATAAAGAACACTTTCTATCTAAATCAGCTAATTTTACCAAATTCTTCCTGCAAAAACTTTGAGTCACACTTTACTTTTGGGAAATAAGGAGGATGGTGGCAGGATAGGGGACTTATTTCTCAGTTCCTGCTCCAGGCCCACTCCTGCTAACTAGGAAGTTCCTTCCAAAATTATTTTGGCTTCAAGTGCAGGGAAAGTTGGACTGCTGGTTGGACTGCAGTGACATCTGTCTCATAACGAATGATCAACACTTTTAAAAGTGCGTAGCAGGCTGTTGATAAATGTTAGTTTAGTGCATTGTTGAAAGCAAGCCAGGCCTCTATTCAAAAAGCAATCAAGAACAGTGTTTCTCAAGCTTGGCAATTTTAAGCTGTGTGGACTTCAACTCCCAGAATTCCTCAGCCAGCATGCCTTAACTGATTTAAACTGGAAAAAAGGAACCAGGTTCTGCCCGTTGTCTGTTGCTGATTCTGTTACTACTGGATATTACAGGTTTGTAATTGTTTCTGCCAATAAACAATTTGATCATATGGTCATGCTTTTATTTTTCCATTATCTGGGAGAGGCACCATTGGCTATGCTTTTATTTTTTCATTATCTGGGAGAGGCACCATTTTGTCTCTGTGCCTGTGACATACTAGTCAGTTAATATAAGAGGCAGCTAAACAAGCCATTTCAAGTACCGATAATAAGCCTTTTAGCACATTAATAGAGCATGGCTGAACTGTTTGATTAACCTAGATTTCACCCATCATGTGGCCTCTAATTCTAACTCAAACCGAGCTTATCTGTCACAATTTTTATTTAGAAGGGGGAAAAGGTCTTCCTCAATCAATTTACCTGTTGGTGTCCTTACTGTGTTAGGAAAGGCATGGTGAGATTGTGAGTAACTCCACTCTCCAATTTATTCTAGTTTTACAAATTCTCAGGCACATTTCTCCCTCCAGGGATTAACTGCTATGATGGTAAGGAAGGCAAATATTAAACGCCTCTTATATCTCATTTCCACTCTCTCAGTCAAAATGATCCAGGCTTATAGTTATATAATCTATACAATGTCAACCTTGAAGATTATGTTGTTCTAAAACCACTAATGATTTGAGAAATAAGTGGTTAGAGAAACACTACTGTGATCTATTCTCATTAAATTTTCTATCATTTAGTTTTTAGATCACCAAAACCAGAATTTGTATCATGCCAGAACTTCTTTCAGGTAAGCTCGTAACTATTTCTATTATGAAATCTTTTATTATTTTACCTAGAATTACTGCTCTTGAATATTCAGGTAATTCTCTTGAATATTTCTCATAACAGATGTATGACATTGAATAATGCGATTTTATTTATCCCAGTGGTTTCATTTCTCTTAGTATCTCAAACCTCACAATCAGATCCAATACATTATTTTTTCCACTGATATAGATAACACAAAGATTAAGTACAGGTAGTTCTCAACTTACGACCATAACTGAGCCCAAAAGTTATGTTGCTAAGTGAGTCACAGTTGTTAAGTTAGCTTAACACAATTGTTAAATGAATCTGGCTTCCTCATTCCAATCAATGGGCACCTTGTCAGAAGGTCCCAAAAGATGATCACATGGGACACTGCAACTGTCATAAATATGAGTCAGTTGCTGTCATGCCTGGTGGAGACTGACTCTGAGGAAGAGGAGGAACAGCCAACAGGGAGTGGGAGTGTGGCTCCAGAGGTGGTGGGGGAGGCTGAGGAAGGGCAGAGGCCAGCTGAGCAATCAGAGGAGGATCCAGGCCCATCCCCTATCCATCCTAGGTCACGCAGGGAGGAGAGGATCAGGGAAAAGCAAAGTCTACTCAGGAGGAGATTACCATGATTACCATGATCCTCCTCGTGGCTTGCATCTGGGAGCTATGTATATAAGTTTGTAACTGCGTAGTCAGAATTGCTGGAGTCAAAGTTTATTGTTTTCTTTGAAAGAGGTTCATCTTTGCTGGCATTCTTCCCATGGACTCTCCTCAGTTATCTTCCTGGAATGTATGATTAATTATCTTGGCTTGCTTCGGAACTCTCGTCAATGAGGTTTGTTTGGGTTTTCTTTTGCCTCATTATTTACTTTTGTGACTTTAAACTGTGCCTAATAAAACAGTGAAGTTAAGTTGAAGGCATTACCGGACTTTAATGTATGTTTTGGGTTATTTTGAGAGACTACGGGTCATCACAGTTGCCAAGCATCTGAATTTTGATCACATGACCATGGGAAATACTGCAACAATTGTGAGCGTGAAAAAAGGTCATAAGCTATTTTTTTCAGTGTTGTAACTAAATAGTCACTAAACAAATTGTTGTAAGTCAAGGACTATCTGTAGGTAGACAACAATGGATCTGTAAAACACATGTACAGAAAAAATAAGGAACAACAAAGTAACTGTTCAAAATCAATTTGGGGAAGAATAATCAATTTCAACTGTTGTAGTTATACTTTCTTTTTTCTTTTTCTTAAGAAACTGCTCTTTATCTTGTTTCATTTCTATCACCAGTAGCCCACCAAAAATCCACCAAGTTTACCCTAAATCCAAAGTTGGAAAAATCAGAGAAGAAAGGGGAAGGGAAAAATAGAGAATGTTGCTGTTCAACAATCCAATGGAGTTGACACTCAATGGAGTTGACTTTCTTCTTTAATGAAGGAAATATTTAGGAAATAAACATTTCAACATCTGCAAGATAAATATTAATTTAGCTTACGTAGTTAGATATAACACATGCATATACTAACAAAGACGGGGTTAGTTTTGGGAGGAAGGATCAAACTTGAGGTCCTTCTTCTAAAGGGTCCCACAGAACTCAAGATTCTCCCACTTTTATTTAACATCTATATGAGTCACTGAATGAAGTCATCCTTCAGTATGGATATAGCCTCAGAATTGGATAGTATCCAGCTTTGCATTTCACACCTGTTTGTACAGGTGATTCTCTCTGGTAATCTTCTCCCAGAACCAGGAGATATAAGAGAACTTGATGGGCTTACACAAATTCAAGTGGCTTTGGATCCAAGTGGCTTTTGGATTCTAATTTCAAGGACAATTGTTAGTTTTCAAGGGTGATCCATGCCTCCAGTTAGAATTGATGTGCAATTTGAGAGTCCTCCTAGACTCAATTCTATGACCTGATGGCAGCCATGGCCAGGAGGAGTTTTGCACTGATCCATAGTGTGTACTAAATATGACCTTTCGTGAAAGGAGGGGAGCTTCTCACAAGGATCATAACTTAATCATTTCTTATCTGAACACTGTAACATAATTACAGGGCTAACCTTGAAAACTATTCAGAAGCTATAGCTAATATGAATAGCTATCATCACTTCTTATTTTGCCTACATAAAACCTCTGCTTTGTACCCTGGCTATCAGTGAGCTTTAGTTCAAGATTCTAGTTGTCACCTGTACAAAAATTCATGACATAAGAACTGCTTTCTCCCATTGTTTCTGCCCAACCGGTGACATCTTGCGGGACCTAGGAATCAGGCCTTTGTTGTGGTTGTACCTGTGCCATGGAAGATCTTCTCCCTTAAGTTCACATGGCATTTCTCAAATCTTTAAATCCCTGCCTCTTGCAACAAACTCTGGATTGGATTGGGTTATAATCAATATTGGATATCTGTCTTATGACTGCGACTGATTTTTTTTGTTGTTCTGATCTGCTATCCAATATTGTTCATTTTTTATTATCATTCTATTGTTTTTAATCCAGAATGTAAACTGCTGCCTTTGTGATTGAGACAGACATTACAATTTGATTGAATTAATTAATTACCATGTTACCTTTTTATTTAAGTACTGTATAACTGAAGATGGTGTGCTTTGTGGATAAACAGGTCTCTGATTGGGAATTCCAATCTATCAAATAAGCTTGTTCAGGAACAAGAAACGCTATTTGCTCACTTTCTTTCGTCTACGGATTTCCAGACCAGCTGAATAGCCGTTTTCAACACTCACTGCCCATTGTATAAAAACAGGCTGTTTTAGGGTCTTCGAAATAAGGATGAAATAATAAAATAATTCCGTTCGCTCAGCCAGCCTTTTATTTCCAAAGGCTAAAGCGATTCTTTTTCCACGCCCAAGAAAGATGGAGAATATTCCTCCATCTCCCTCAAAAGTTAGCTGCCATAGGGCGAGAGAGAAGCCTAAACTTCTTCACAGTTCCACTTCTTTGCAGTACTAACGGAGCTGAGCCCCACCGCCGAAGGCACGGGGCAAAATTGACTCTGGCGAGAAAAGGATAGTGGCGAGGCTATACTCCACCGGCCTACTACGTTGCTACTGTCAGGCAAAAGTAGGGTTAGCCGTAAACCGCGCTACAAAAATCCGGACGACTATAAAGCTGGCAATAAAGAACCACGACGATGGCGTTGCTGCCCATCTGGAAGTCGGCCAGGTGTCGTAGGCTGGTTGAACTCTCGCCCCGGCCGCCAGACGCAACGCCGCGGGCCTCCCCACCATTTCTCTCTCCCCGCCTTTGCAGATACGGTTCAAACCCTGGCGACCCAAAGCAGCATATTTCCTCAGTATTCCAACCTGGGGAGCAACCCAGTTCTGTTTCCATGGCAAGAGACGGACTCCAAACAGCTCGGAACCCTGGCGCTCATCTCCAGCCAGCGCCGCCTCGCGTGGGAGCTCTCAGGTGAGTCGGGCCGGGGATTGGCTCGAAGGCGCGCCAGACAAGCGTCGTTGCCCCGGCATTGTGGAGCGCTCGGTCTCGGCTGGAGAGGGACGCGGGTCGCCCTCGGAGAGGAGAGGTGCTAAGGTGGAAGCAAGGGAAATCCGGTGATTTTTTTTTTTTTTTGGCGACCCTACAAACTTTGTTTTTCGGGATTGCTATGCCTCTGCTGGAGAGCCCGATACTGGGCCGTTATAACTCTCGGGTTCGATTGGATTTCCAGAATTGCCTGGATTCGGAACAGGAACTGAACGGTAAGTAAGGCCAATTTAAATTTCAGGGCTCTAATCGCAGGGCGATGAGGCAGTCGCTTCAGTCAAGCGATTTGGGATTTTAGGAGGGAGCTCTTAATTTCACTTACTGGCCCACAGGTGCTTTTTTTTCCCTAGAGGCAACTGGACTGTCTAGTTTTTGTTTTTTTGTTTGGAAGACGTTTCGCTTCTCATCCAAGAAGCTTCTTCAGCTCTGACTGGATGGTGGGGAATGGAAGGATTTATACTCCTTACAGACAGCTGGACATTTGCATCCTTTTAGCGGGGGTCGTTAAGGTCATCTGTTATTTGCACCTGAATGGTGCAAATGGGTGTGGAGTCTTCTTGGAACCTTGAAAGGACTGTGTTGTAGATTGGAGATAGATGATGTCATATTCTTCCCTCTCTGTTGACAGGGGGCTGTTCAATTTTGAAACAGATGGCCCCTTTAACTCTTCTTTCAAACCAGTGGTCCTCTCTGTCCAAATATGGACTCTGTTGTCTTCAAAAGAGTGGCCTGTGTCTTTTAAATGCAGATGGACTACTGAATCTAGTCCTGATGTGTGTGTTCTCCTATGTTGTGCCATGCGTTTATGAAGTGGTTGTTTTGTTTCCCCAATGTACAGATCTGCATATGGCTCAATGCACGTACTGCATATACCACGTTGCTCAGTTTCTGCCTGGGTGTTTTATCTTTGGAGTGGACAAGCTTCTGCCTTAGTTTATTCTTGGGTTTGAACACGTATGTTATGTTGGCTGAAGCCTGAGCTTTTTCAAGATGCCTGCAACATATGGAATGACGTTGCTTCTTTTATTGTTCTCATCATTGCCTGTTACAGAGGAGCTCCTGTAGGATCTTTTTTGAGATTTGATGAAGGCCCACTTGGGATAGCTACATGTTCTGAGGGCTTTCTTGATGTGTTTACATTCTTTTTCTTTCCCATCTTTGCTAGTAGGCAGGTCTTCAGCTCGGCGATGTAAGTTTCTGATGACTCCCATTTGGGGCTCCAGTGTGTGGTGGGAATCAAAATGTAAATATTGATCTGTGTGGGTGGGTTTTCTGTAAACATCAATGTTAAGGCTTTTCTGTCTTCCTTGATATGTACTGCAGTAGTAGCAAGTAGTAGCAGAAGTTTCTTGGATGAGAAGCGAAACATCTTCAAAGAAAAACCAGAACGTCCAGTTGCCTCTAGAAAATAAAGGCACCTTTGGGACAACCATGATCTGGATGACTGAGAATCTCCATAGACACTTAACTTATTGTGTTTTTATTGCTAATTTACAAGGAAGAGAAAGGCACTTCTGAAATTATTTGCCTCGGGTTTCAGAATAAATTTACATAAGCATGATTCTATATAGATATTTTTTAAAAAACTAAAGGGACTGTCACAATACTAAAAGAATATAATTCCTCTGTTCAAACATTTACATACCAGCAAAATTAGATGGATGTATAACCACTGCCTGCCAAATATGTATTAGCAGTGGCGTTTCAAATCCCAATGTCACATTATGGGACCTTTAACAACATGTTTCTTTCTTGGGAAATAGCATTGTTTATTTCAGAATAGATATATAGCAAAAAAAATCTACTTTAAGTTTTCCAGGATGTAATCACAAAACTAATTAGGAGTTAATCCTGAAACCAGTGAATAAATTAGTACAGTACTCTAAACTTCCATGAAGTGCCCTCTCTGTCTCATCAATAAATTACCATCAGAGGCAACTATTTATTTTATTTATTTATTTATTTATTTATATTTGTCAATTGCTTACAAGAAAATAGGTATAAGTAAAAACATAGTTATGAATACATGGATACATAAAATATATATATATATATATAAAAGAAACAATAGGACAGGGACAGTAGGCACGTTGGTGCGCTTATGCACGCCCCCTACAGACCTCTTAGGAAAGAGGTGAGGTCAATAGTAGACAGTCTAAGTCTATCTTGTTAGTTAGAAGGTTTAAGTCAGTGCACAGAAACATCATAGTAAGTTGGCCTTGAAATGTATGTTGGAAGTTATCTAGTCCAAACCCCATTTACTGTACAGCATTCCAAATTCCAACTGCAGTGTTCCTGACAAATGATTGCCCAACCTCTGCTGTGTATTTTTCAAAAAGAAGAGTTTGCTATCTCCCAGTTGTTGAAGAACTTCTAAGACTGATACTTGTACTATTAGAATTTTTTTCTGTAATATTTTATTAAAAGTTATCAGTCTTTCCAGACCTTTAAAGGTTACCATTTACACACTCCCCTCCCCCTCAAAATAATAACCAAATCAGCTTGAAGGAAAAGGATGGATTCAGATTGGGTGTAAGAGATACAATTTGTAACACAACGTGTGGACAATTATTAGGCAAGTGATTATATTTTGACCATATCATCCTTTGTAGGCATATTTTCCACCTCCAAGCTGTATAAACCTAAATGCTTAGTGGATATAAGCAGATCAGGAGATATGTATTTGTGTAATGGGGAAGGGTGTGGCCTAAGTAGATCAACATCCTATATCAAGGTGTGCATAATTATTAGGCTGTTTCTTTTCCTCAGGCAAAATGGGCCAAAAAAGAGATTTAGCTGACTCTGAAAAGTCAAAAATTGTAAAAAAATATTTCAAAGGGATGCAAGACTCTTGAAATTGCTAAGATATTGGGGCGTGATCATAGAATCATCAAATATTTTGTTGCAAATAATCAATAGGGTCACAAGAAATATGTTGAGAAAAGAAGACTCACCTTAACTGCCAAAGATTTGAGAACAATTAAATGTGAAGCTACCAGGAACTCATTATACTCAAGTGATGTCATATTTCAGAACTGCAACCTACCTGGAGTGCCCAGAAGTGCTAAGAAGGGCCCACAAGTGGTGCTAAGAGACATGGCCAAGGAAGGCTGAAATTCGACCACCACTGAACAAGACACATAAGTTGAAATGGCAAGACCAGGCCAAGAAATATCTGAAGACGGATTTTTCAAAGGTTTTATGGACTGATGAGATGAGACTAACTGTTGACGGACTAGATGGATGGGCCCGTGGCTGGATCAGTAACTGGCACAGAGCTCCAGTGCAACTCAGATGCCAGAAAGGTGGAAGAAGGGTACCGGTATGGGCTGGTAATATGAAAGATGAACTAATTGGACTTTTTCGGGTTGAAGATGGACTCAGAATCAACTCCCAAACCTTGTGCCAGGTTTTAGAAGACACTTTCTTCAAGCAGTGGTACAAGAAAAGTCTGCATCTTTCAAGAAGACCATTATTTTTATGCAGGACAATGCTCCATTGCATGCATCAAAATATTCCACTGTGTGGCTAGCTAGTAAAGGTCTTAAAGATGAAAGAATAACGACTTGCCCCCCTTTCCTTACATGACCTAAACCCTGTTGAAAACTTGTGGGCCCTTCTTAAACGGGAAATGTATGGTGAAGGAAAACAGTACGCCTCTCTGAACAGTGTCTGGGAACAGTGTTTTGCTGCTGCACAAAAAGTTGGTCGTCAACAGATCAAGAAACTAACAGACTCCATGAATGGAAGGCGTGTGACTGTTATTGAAAAGAAGGGTAGCTATATTGGTCATGGATATTTTTTTTGGAACTGTCAGAAATGTTTATTTGTAAATTTTGAGTTGTTTATTTATTACTCTCACTTTAATAGATGAAAATAAATGAGTGAGATGGGAAATTTTTCATTTTTCATTTAGTTGCATAATAATTCTGCAAACTAATAGCTGCCCAATAATTATGCACACATAGATATTCTCCTAAGAAAGCCATAGCCTCATTTTTACTTTCTTAAATATTCAGGTTTGAGGTTTATTAACATTTTGGATTGACCGAGAGTTGTTCAATAATAAAATTAATCCTTCAAAATAAAGCTTGCCTAATAATTGTGCGCATAGTGTACATTGTCATTTCTGATAACTCCTACTGGATTTTGATGCTTGTAGGGAGGGATAAGATCTTAGAGATGTGTTTGTAGAAACTAGAATTGAAACAAAGAGATGTTTGCTTTTAAGAGATAATGATAAGTTCTTAATGTTGATTATACCTGCTGGAGATGAGGGGAGAAGTTTCCTTTTTTCTTTTTCTGCACTTTTTAAATTTTCTTTAATGTATCTATTTTGTCATTGTTTAAATTTTACTTGTACAATAAAATTTCTAATAAATTTTTGGGACAATATAATGATCACCAAATTTCACTGTGGAGAGGGGACAGAGGGTTCAATGTCTTTTATTGTCTCCATTATTGCAAATTGGCTTGTTTTGAGTATTATCTCATCCTGGCTAATCTTGTAGCACAATATTTAACCATTCTTACCTTTCCCAGGCAGAGGAAAGCTCCGATATTAGGGTACGTATTCTAAAAGCCCATTAGCAAAGCATATGCAGATCCAGGAATATAAACACAGAGGTGTGCTACTATTGTTTACTGTATTTTCTAAAAGAATATTTGGAATAGTTATACGTGTGGGCATGGCCTAGTCAGCCTCCTGCACCACAGTGGGGGGGCATTTTTGCCCTCCCTGGGCTCCGGAGGCTTTCCTCGAGCCTCTGGGAGGGTGAAAATGGCCTTCCTGGTCTTCGGAGACTCTCTGGAAGCGGGAAACAGGCCCATTTTTAGCCTTACCAAACTTCCAGGAGGCCCGTTTTTTGCACTCCCCGCGCCTCTGGTGTGCCCTGCACTTACCTGCATCCAAAACAGGCTATGTGGGGACTCCTTGGAGGGGCGGGGTGTAGTGGGCAGGGCCAGCTAGGAGTGGGATTTGGGGGTTCTCTGAACTGTACAGAATCTCAGCTAGGGGCTTTCCCGAACCCCTGCGAACCCGCAGCAGCCCACCCCTGGCTAAATGACACTGTCATTAAATGAAATCTCACATGACTGTGCTGCACTTATGGCATCAGTTCTGGCTATGTTCATTAAGAAAAATCACTGTGGGTTGTTAAACACAACATCACATGACCATGTCTTGTGATTTCCTGCCAGCTTCTCTATTGATTTTGTTTGCTAGAAGCCTGCTATGAAGGTCATAAATGGAAATCACATGACCAAGGACATTGTGACCATTGTAAATGTTTTGTCACAAAGTACCCAAATCATGATCACATGACCATGAATATTATGTCATCACTATGGGGATGTTCCAATGGCTGCAAGTCATTAATCTATTTTTACAGTGCCATTGTAACTCTGAATAGCCGCTGAGAGAAGCAGTCAATAAATGAGGATCATATCTATTTTTCCATTCTAATTAAGTTTTTTATGTAAATACCTAAGTATTTACATATAAAATAATGTAATTAATGGTAATTAGGTGAATGAACCTGACTGGCTGGCTGTATTCTGTGTTTCACTGAAAAGTTAGTCCAATACATAAGAGGTGTCACTCTGCTATTTTATAAACTTAGTTTTGTAGCACATTATAAAACATTGATGCAAACATTTGACTGACATAAACTCTTTTGGGGGTTTTCAGATGTTCAGAAGGAACGTCCATTTGGAACCACTCAGGAAAAGAAAATTTTCCCCTTTCATCATGCACCAGACCGATTAGGTAATGAGTTTGCACCAATTATAGGTGATCCTGATCGTGGACCAGGAACATATAATCATGCAGAGGTAAGTGGTGCTCCTTTTCATTTTTCTTTATTTTCTCTCCAAAGAGATCTTTAATTAGAAGTAAAGAAAGAATATTTACTATTCAGATTATATTGATTACTTTTGCTTCCAAAATTCAAATATATTGTAAATAAAAGCAATGTCTCTGGTCTTAGAAAATAGATAATTAGAGAATATATGCAAAGATTTGAGAGACCACAGTTGAACCCTTTAGTCATCTATTATTTTCAGAAGATGACTCTGTGGCTTGATACTGTCTTTCCTAACTCACATGATTGCTTCCGGCAAAAATCCAGGAGTACAAGTTTTGTCATTTAGACTAATGAACCCTAACATTATTTGTAGTGAATGTGCAGGCTACAAACCCAGCTAATATTCACTGAGAGACATCCAATTTATGGTCACTGTCTGAGTTTCAGTCCATATCGAGAGGAAAAAATCTTTTGTTTTTCTTTTGTCATGGAAAGAAGAGACATCTTTGATGAATGGGTTCAATTGGATTCCTCAACTCATCTGTCTCCTAAACGAGAAAAAGTTTTGTTCTTTTAAAAAGTAAGGAAGAACTCTGGGGAAATGGTACAGGAACCCTGGGTCACTGTGTTTGTTGTACTTCTGACCCTCTGCTATTGTTAACAAATTCTGGAAATCGGAAGATGGTTGAGGATGAACTGGGCCTGCACTAGACTTGTTGCCTGGTTGGCTACTTTTGTGGGCCTGGTGCTGGTTGCCCCTTGTATTTTATTCTCATCTCTTTGCTGCCAGTGTCTTTCATCACACAGACCAGATAACTGTATTTGTAGAGGCTAACCAGGACTTTGGGGCTTGGATTATTGGTGTTGGCTTTGTGGGGGGAGGATTGATAGCAGAAGAGTGTAACCTGATGTTGATTCCCCCCCCCTCCCCGCCCCCAAACAGAGGCTTTTTCTCTGATAACTCCAGAGAGGGAGAAGATTATTTTCCTCCCAATTTTGTCTGTCAGCTAAGTATTTTGTTTGTGTGCTTCCCCCCTCAGGATGAGAGCCTGAGAAAAGAGTTGATGGGAGGAGGTGGCGCCTGAGGGTGCTGAAAGGCAGTAGAGCTGAAGCATCTTGGGGTTCTTTTTTTCCCCCTCCCTGGAATGGATGTAATTGGTTATTATTGGAGGTCCTAGGCCTTTGGAATTTGGGTATCTGGCAGGAAAGACAGGGTGGCCATTGAGGGGACATGGGTGGGCTGCAATATTATGATGGTGATGGGCATGTGAAGATATGGTGGGAGACAAGCAGATCACGCCTGGAGAACACAGGGCAAATATTTAACATTCTAGCTCTTGATTTTAGCATCTATCCTCAGCAGCAGACTGCCAGAGGCCCTGACTTCTGTTGTTGTTCTTAAATGTCAGGTCAGTTTTTAATAAGGCCTTTTTTATCACAGATGGGAAAGCCAAGCTGTCATGTGTTATTGAGACCTGGTTGCGCCCAACAGTGGGGGTCCCCCTCCCAGAAATATTACCAGCTGGGTTTTGAGTTTGGCGCCAACTAACAACATGGAGCAGGGGGGCTGATGTGGCAGTTGTCATCCAACTTCAAGGGCACTGCCCAGCAGGTCACAGGAAGTGAGACCCTGCTTGTTAGGTTGCGATCAATTGGGATTGTTACTGTTATACCGATTTCCCTGCTGTATAGCAACTACCCTGCCTCAGCTACTCGATTCCATCTCTGGGTTGGCAGCGGAATTGAACAGATTTATATTTTTTTTAATAAAGTTTTATTTGGGTTTTCACACATACAAAATACAAGTAAAACATCTTTTTTGAAAATAGCATGGTCCCGGGTTGAACTTCTTTATACAGACACAAAACTCAATTTCATGCTCCTTTTTGTATTCTATTCCATATCTTATACTATTTTACATTTTCTATATAGTTTTTCCCCTCTTTTGATTTTCTCAATTTTAATTTGATTATCTCATATCAATTCAAATCATTATATTTATACTTTTGTCTGTTCTGTTTCAATTTCATATTATCTTTTCTCATTAAACAAGTTTTCTCCTGTAGTTACTAATTGGAGTATGACACTTTTATATCTTTTAATTACATCCATTCAACTCTTATTTAAATTTCAATATATACCTTAAGGTTATGACCTTCAATATAATACATGATACATAACTTCCAATCGAATTCTGCTTAGTACATTCTTATAATACACACTATATTCTTTAAAAAAAAAAAGGTAAACATATGTAATTATAAACCCTCATTCCGTTCCAGTTCAGTTCTATCATTAATAATCATTGAAATCTTAACATCTTTAACACTTCTTTTCAATTAAATATCATACTTCCTTAAAAACACATATAATCTCCATAATTAATTTTTCTCTTATTTCTCTTCACATATGTTTTGTAAATCATTAAATATTCATTTTGGTACATTTATTTATTGACAAGCATTCCACTGAATTATGATAGCTATTTTATCAAACATTTTAATCATACATTATTTCATATTTTCTAAAATTATTTCTATTTCTAATATAACAATACTATCTTATGTACCTTTGCAGAATCCCTTTTTCCATTAAATTTTCACCCATTATCTCTAAATAGGTCCTGTTTCTCTATATTTTGTTTCTGTCCTTTATAACTTCTTTTCCTTTCTTTCTTCCCTCTCATCTTCTCCCTCCCCTTTTTACCCCCTTGTCTCTCTACTTCTAATTCTCTCTTCTGCGTTTCCCTCTTCTGTTGCTTTCTGATTTTATACTTATTTTTCACTCTATTTTTTTTGGGGGGGGGCAGGTTCCCAATCTTAAACTTTCCATTCTCTTTATCTCCTTTTTTTTTCTCTCCCATCTAAGATTACTTGTTCGTTAAAGATGGCTTCTTCTTTGTCGCGATCTTCTTGTTCTGCAGGCATTTCTTGTTGTTTCTCATAGTTCCAAATCTCCATTTCTAAAAACTGAAATACAAAGCCAAAAGAACCTCTCCCTTCTTGTGCATCTTCTTTATACTTTTTAAGTTCCATTTTCAGTTCTTCTAAAAGTGGAGCCATTTTAAACAGTTTTAAACAACCACCCGATTGATTTTAGTCATTCAAATACAATAACCAAAAATCCAGAGATCATCAAGTAATCCAAATAGTCCCAAGCTGTTTCTTCTTATTTCTTTTTCCACTTTCTCTTCCTGGGGTTTTTGTAGCGATGTTTCAGTTAAAATGTATCTTTTGGAAGTCTTGTTGAGATTTTGCTGTAAGTTCTTTTTAATTCCAGGCAGTCTCCTCCCTTCCAGATCCTGCCCTTTTATTCTTTTTCTCTCCTTTCCTGTTTTCAAAAGCTTTTGATTATCCAGAAATCTTTATTATCCCTTTGACTTTTTATTTTCAGCATTAAATGCCTATTAATGTCAAAGTGGATTTTTTTCCAATTTCTTGCTTAAGTCTCTTAGCTGTCAGTATAGGAAAAGGAGAAAAAAAAACCAAATATTTTCCCTTTTCTCTCTCCTTCACAGCTTAAAAATCTTCTTAGGGAACAATGTTATTGTTTTTTTTTAATAGTTTCAATTCCAGGGTACCTGATTTGTTGCTTTTGCTGTTTGACTGGGTCAACCAAAACTTTATCTTCTTATCTTCCTCCTGCACATTCTTTTCTGGTCGAGTTCTTCTTTGTGGTGGCCATTTCTGACCACCGCTACAACCACCTTCGGGAAAGGGAGTAATGGCCAGGTGGGGAGGAGAGATGCAGCTCTCCTCAACCCTGCAGGCAGTCTCCCCCTTCTTCACCACCTCTACAGGGTGGCTTAGCCCCGAAACCAGTCGGCTCGGGGCGCTCCAGCGCCGAGCATGGATCGAAGCCTCGCAGAGACGAGGTTTCGGTCTGTCACCGAAGAAGCTCAGACCAGAAGTCCCGGAATTGAACAGATTTATGATCATCCTTCCCTAGGGATGGGGTCCCTCCAGACTTGGTTATGCCAACTGGATTGGGAAACCTAAGAGACGAGTCAGCTAGTGAGGTAGCACAATCATTCTTAACATCCCTTTGTCTGCTATTCTCTGTTTTAGTTTGTTTTTTATACCTTAAAGTGTATGTATTCTTACCTCTGTTGTACACCATCCAGAATCTTTTGTTTGTGAGATGAGCATCTATCTAAATTGGTTTAATAAATAATAAGTGGGAAAACAAATGGAGTGTACCATTTATTGGGCCGTTCTTCTAAGTGGCTCAAATTATTCCAATAAGGTGTGGGGGAGGGAATTAGGAAATTGCTTTGGAAAAATTCTATGTAAGAAAAAGTTAAATTTAGGTAGGGTGGTACATTATAATTATTTTATTATATTATTCACCATCCAGCTCCAACGTTGACTTTTTAGTTACGTGTATATTATAAATAAGTCTCATTCTGTTTTTCTATTTCTTTACACTACTCATGCTTTCTCTGAGAGTACCCAAGATTTACTTTTTATTAACTTCTTCTCAGTAGAAATCTTAGTTTTGCACGCTTTATTATGTTGCTAAACATTGTTTTTTCCATTATTATAGTGTAGACTAACTTTAGCATTTGTCTTAATATGTAGAGGAACAATCTTATATATAACTTGGCTCAAAGACCACAGAGTACCAAGGGTTACAGCATGGGAGCAAGAACAACACCACGTTTTGTAATAATAAACAAGGTAAAAAACATTTTCCGTATATATACTCTGTAGTAGGAGTTCTCTTCTGCAGGCATGAAATCCTTCAGCAGACAATTCTTGCACCCAATGTGCCTTGCATACACCTAGGAAATTCACTTTCTTTACTGTGGGTCCCATTTAAGGAAGGGCTTCTTTCTATTCTAAAATTTAAATTTAAATAGAATGCCAAAATTACAAACCAGAGTGGCTGAGAGAAAGTTTAACCTTTCACAATTCATGTTTCATGCTTCTCTAGAAGAAAATAGTAAAGGTAGAAATGTTTATATTACTTATATTCTTTATGTGTTGTCACATTTTCTACTGTGAAACTGACTATATTTGATTTGCTGATATACTTAGATTGTGGAATCAGCTAGGGAACAGAGATGCTCAAAGCAAATTAATGCTTACATCCTTGTTTATCCATAACTAAGTTTAAAAGAATCTCTGTAATATTGTGCTGTAAAGACATAAAATCATTAAAATAAATTCATCATGATGGAACACAGTACTGGTCCAGACAATAATTTTAAAACCTCAGTGTTTGGGGGCATCTTTACTGAGCATATGAAATTGAAAAGATAAAAGGTTTCTTTTGCTCGGGGTTTAAACGGTTAATGTCTAAGCAGTGGTCTCCAAACTTGGCAACTTTAGAACTTGTGGACTTCAACTTCCAGAATTCCATGCTGTCTGGGGAATTCTGGGAATTGAAGTCCACAAGTCTTAAAGTTGCCAAGTTTGGAGACCCCTGGTCTACGCAAACAGATAGGAAGAACATCATTTTTTAAAAAACAAAGAACCATCTCAATTCACTTCACAAAAGCCCGAGAAAGAGAAGGTGAATCAAACCTTATTTATTTGTGTGACATTGCCTCACCCATCTTATTTTTATTTATTTTATATATTTATTTTTTTTGTCAAGCGATTATTAGATTACAGGTATAAGTATAAACATAGTTATAAATGCATGAAATGGATACATATAAGAAAAATAAAAAATAAAAGAAAAAGAAACAATAGGACAGGGATGGTAGGCACGTTGATGCGCTTTTGCACGCCCCCCCTTGCAATCAAACCCGTTGCAACATTCATATCCTAAATTGGACAATTTTATATACCCAAAACACTCAATCGCACATTAAATTATTCTAATAAGACTCATCAAACTAGAAAGGAATCTCTAATATGGCTGTGCAGTATTTTGAATTTATTTAGATAGAGATCCTTCATAGGATCTCTATCTAAATAGAAACATGAAACTAAAGCAACTATGTCATTTTACAGGATTACACAGTTGCAACCCTGGTGTGTGAAGTCATTGTTAATGCACAAAAGTTTACAAAATTATTAAATTGAATTTTAATGACCATTCCAGGTTTATTTACAATGTATTCACAAATTATTCTATTTTTATGAGGTTTAACAGAGTTAAAGCTCAAGATTAATCACTCAGATTAAACTGAAAGCTAATTGGAGTGTTTATGGGCTTCAAACAATATTCTTTATAATTTCATTTTATGCTCTCTCTCTCTTTTTTTTAGCATGTGACCCCTGCTCCTACATCATATCAGTCAATATGGATCAAAGAACACAAGCATAAGACTGTTCATTTCCCATTTCTCAGCAATGTACCACGGTTTTTAGAGCAGGTTCAAGATAGAGAGCTCTTTCCCGGGTACTGTTTTTCATTTCTTAAATTAAAAACTGGCTATTAGAAATGGAACCTGAAAAATAAAGTAAGCTCAGTACTAAGGAGGATAGGCGGGGAAATCTTATATTTGAGCTTTCTTTTAATTTTGAAAAGGATTTAACTATGCATAAGCTGGAAATTGTATGGTTTAGTTAGTCATGGATGTATCTGAGGAACAAAGTGATCTTTAGCTATCATTAATATGTCTGAATATATTTCACTATGGGGCTCCCATAGTGTCAGTGGGACTCCTGTACTTATAGATTTTGTTGGATTTATGTGGTGGCATAATTGCCATCTTATGCTATTTGGGGGGCTCTTCGGCAAGTATTTTAACAAACACTAATAACTATACCAAAATTTGCTATGTTGAAACGAAAACCTGATACATCTTAACCTTGACTGTATGTAAAAATTATCCCAATACAGCAGTGAAGTTACTGTTGTACGAGCCATGCAAGATTTTTTTTCATTTGAAAACAGTGCAGGTGGGGAGGGGGGACAACAGAACCCAAATATAAATATTTGTTTTGCTATTCTGCTAATCATACTTTTTGCATTAAGTTGAAATGTCATTTGATTGTAAATTATTGACAGAGACTTATTTTCCATTAATTGACTGCATGTAAGATCGCATTCTCGGAACCTTTCTGTCTGAAGAGCTACCGTAAATAAAATGCATTCCTTTTCATCATGAAGTTTTGAACCTTTACCCAATTCCAGCTATATTTTAATTTTTTAAATGTTCATTTGTTGTTATCAGAAGAAGAGGGAAAACAGACAAATGAAATATTACAGCAAAATTTTTAAAAACCCTATTCCTTTATAAAAATTATTTTGGAGCCCTGATGGTGCAATGGTTAGAATGCAGTATTGTAGGCAAACCCTGCCCACAGCCTGGACTTTGATCCTAACAGGCACTCAAGATTCACTCAGCATTCCATCCTTCCGTGGTCAGTAAAATGTGTTAGGAATGTAAGTCACCTAACAGCTATTTGGGTTGGACAATATATAAACCAGGAAAGACATTTTAATACTGTCTCTTTAAGAGAATCCTAAAATTGTAAATGGGTGTGGTTTCTCAAACGGCCATAAGATGGAGCCAGAAACCTGGGTTGTCTTAGTCTTAGTCTTAGTCTTAGTCTCAGAAGAGAATGTGTCTGAGTGAGTCTTTGTTTCCTTCTGTTGGAGAATATTGCCATTCCTCCATTTTTCCTAATTGACTGCTATTCTTGGATTTGATGTAAGTCTGATACTGAACTGTTTTTTGATACTGGACTTTGTTATTGGATCATCCCTGGACTGAAAACTGACTGATTTTACCTGTGAATGATTTTGGACTGTGTTTGAACTTTGCTTAAAAGTTTCTGAAAGTAAAAACCTACATTTACTGTGCAGTGTATCTGTGTGCTGTGTGTGTATTATTCAAACACTACTCTCAATACGTCTCCCTGTATGCGCTCATTCTCCTAACGGGGAATTACCTCAACACTGGTTATGGGCCCAGGCCATACCAGGCACAGATAACTGAGAGTTGGTGTGAATGCACAGTACTGTATACAGACAGCTGTTTACTGTTTAATTGTGGGTTACTATGCTGGTAAAGATGGCACAAGACACTTCAACAAGTCTATCACTGATAACCCGGTTGGATGGAACAAACTATGTCTCCTGGTCTATGAAGTGCAGTCTACTTCTACGTAGAGAAGGTTTATGGAATGTAGTTCAAGACCCACCGGATGTAAATGCTTGGGATATAGCTAATGAAGATGATGCCAAGAAACTTGCTGATTTTAGACAGAACAACGAACAAGCTCTTTGTATAATTGGACTAACACTGAGTGACCAGCAGCTAGTCCATATTCATGGAGAAGAGTCTGCTGCTATGTGTTGGGAGAATTTGAAGAGGATTTATGTTCGTGACAGTGTAGGTGCACACATACATCTTACATGTAAACTGTTAGAGCACGTCTTCTGAAAAGTGGAGATATGTTAGCTCATTTGAACTTCAGGAAAAGAACTTTTCAAGAGCTACATGAAAAAGAACTGATATTTTCAGAGCTGCATCAAGTTTACATCATTCTTTCCTCATTGGATGAAAGTTATGATGATTACGTATCTTCACTGGAAGTCCTACCCAGAGATAAACTGACATTGACTGACATAACTGGAAGATTGCTAGAAGAAGCAAGAATACGGCTGGATAGGGACCAACTGAGGAAGGAACAACCACAAGAAGAGGATTTGTCTTCAGCTGCCTATACTGTTAGGAAATGTTTTTCTTGTGGGGCTAGGGGACATATAGCTAGATTCTGTAAGAAGGGAAAAAGACAGAATACTAGTAATCACCAGAAGGCCAAGAAGAATGTTAGTTTAGCTATGTCTAGCAATTCTACTGTAAATTAATTTCACATTAATTTCAAAATGCTCAAACAAACTGTTGAATTGTCAGAGGGAGTAAAATTGAAACCCTGTAGCAAGTATTTAAACTGTAATGCTTGTAGCCAGGAGAAAAGTAAGGTTACTCCTGCAAATAGACTAAATGGATTTAAAACCAAAGAACCTTTAGAGGTTGTGTTTGCTGACATAATTGGTCCTAAGAAACCAAGTTTAGGAGGTGCCCGTTATATTTTGAATATTATGGACCATTACTCACGTTACGGTTTCTGCTATCTTATGAAAAACAAAACAGAAATATTCCAACATTTCTTTAACTGGCTAAGGTTTGCTGAGAGAAAAATGAAAAGTAAAGTAATTACTTTAGTTACTTTTGTTTGTTAACAAAAGATTCCAAACTATGTTGAAATTGGCTGGTGTCCAGCATAAACGTTCTGCACCTTACAGATCACAACATAACTCATTTATAGAATGAAGAGGTCAAACATTACAAGTCATGGCTCGCACTATTTTATCTGATTCAGGTTTACCTGAAACACTGTGGGGTGAGGCCATAATGTGTAGTTACCATGTTTTAAACAATGTAGTTAATACAACAACTGGTGAATTGCCATTCACTTGCTGGCATGGCAGAAAACCAAATTTAAGTTACCTATACACATTTGGAACTCCAGCATGGGTGCATATTCCCTCACAAGTAAGACTGAAAGGGCAACATAGAGCTAAGAAGTTTTTTTTGTGGGTTACGAGGCCAACCATAGATCATTTAGATTCTGGGATCAAGGCACAGCTCATGTTTATTGTAGTGCTAGTGCAAAATTTCTTGAGCACATTGGGTGGGATAAACTGGAACAGGAATCCCACCCAATATTATTATTGACACCCAAATAGTCCCTAAAGATGAAATAAGTAAACCACGAATAGCCATTAAAGAGGAAGAACAGGCACAGGAGGAAGTAGGAGAACAGGCACAGGAGGAGGTAAAAGAACAGGAGCAGGTGGCACAGGAAAGTCCACCAGTTAGCCCTGTATTACCAAGACATTCAGCCCGAGTAAGCCCAAAATTTATGTTAAGTAAGAAATTTGCTAAGTGAGTTTTGCCCCATTTTACAACTTTTCTTGCCACATTTGTTTGGTGAATCATTACTATTGTTAGGTACTAACATGGTTGTTAAGTGAATCTGGCTTCCCCATTGACTTTGCTTGTCAGAAGGTCGCAAAAAGGGATCACATGACTCTGGGACACTGCAATGGTCATAAATATGAGTCAGTTGCCAAGCATCCAAATTTAAATCACATGACCCTGGTGACTCCAGAACGGTCATAAATGTGAAAAATGGTCATAAGTCACTTTTTTCAGTGCTGTTGTAACTTTGAACGGTTATTAAACAAACTGTTGTAAGTTGAGGACTACCTGTATATAACAGAAAGTACATGTTTTGAAGAACTTGTCTGTTCTCTCTCCTGTCTCCTCAGACCTGGAACTTACAACCCATACAAGTTGCCACACAGACATGTCAGTTGGCCAGGGAAGTTTGGTTCCCCAGACTGGTCTTTGGTTCCAATGCCACAGAGAAGAACTTTCAGAGCCGAGGTGTGAAATTTGGGGGTTAAGAATGTTTGGAATGACAGAAATGCTTCAGTTCTTGAAATAGATTAACGTATCTTCTTGTCCTTGAGCAACAGCTTACAAAAAATCGTGTGGTAGCTTATAGCTACTAGGCTGTTTGTTGCAGGAACAGATGGTCTGGATATTATACAGTAATTACTTTATTCATTTCTTATTTTAAAATTTAAATGATATCATGAGTTGGCATCAAGTTGGCACATAAGTTCCTCTTGGCTTCTAGGTGCTCACTAAGAAAGGATTTTTCGAAATGACCATCAGAGCAATAGTATTTTGTATATTATTATTAACATGCTCTAATGCTAAGGAGTTCTACTTCCCCTCCCCAACTGAAAAGAAATCTGTTCCAAATGCAAAACACAAGCAGAGGAGAGGATTTTCAGTTTTAGTTTCACAGCAGCAACCAGCTTTAGTACAGAACAGTTGAGCTATGCCATGCCCAGGCTCCTTGAAGTCTCCTTGCTCACACAGCAAATACTGTTTCAGTTTCCAAACAGCCCTCAACTCTCCACACAGACAGAACACTAGCCAGATGAATACAGATGGAGGTTGGTAGGCAGAGGCAGAATTTTCCCCCCTTATTTTCCTCCCCAAAAACTAAGCCCGAGCACATAGTTTCGTAGCAAAGCACGGCTATTGAGCTAGAAATACAGTAGGACAGCAATTATGTACAGTTAATATTTTTTACTTTTGTTTTATTTCAGCTGCTTTCGGATAAAGAATTCAAGAAATATCGGAATCTGGTGGCCTACCTGAGCATATATTACAGTGATTAATTGGCTGAAGATATTTCCTCTCCTACATGCTTAGACCACTAATTTACTTTTTTATCCTTAGACAGAATTGGAACATTTTAATTAATATGTTACTTGGATTCAATACACATACTATTTCATAAAGAATTTCTTCGTTAGCCTTTTAAATGCTTCTATTTTCCTAATGCTCTCCACTATTTCACTATAAAACATTTATTATTTGGAAGTTGCTTCAAATGTAGGAGTTTGGATTTTGCCAACAGCCACACCTGTTAAAAAGTTTCTGGTTTTGAACAGTTTAGTTAGAGAAAAGCTTAAGAGAAATGCAGATTTTCAAAGTATAATCTCTATTGATATATCAGTTTGAGAGTTAAGGTAGTAATGCTCACAAAAGTCATGCCAAATTCGAGAAATTATTATGGGATCAAGCATGTATTGATTAAAACCTAAAATTGCAAATATTTTGTCCTGCTACTCCATTGCACTGGCCAGTGGTTTTTTTTGAAACACAAAGGTATTAGAAGTATGTGCCATATGATCTGCTGCAGATGATACCATTTCTTGCACTGCATATCCTGCATGTGACTGAGAATGGAAATTTCATGGAATATATATGCAAGTATTTCAGCACAGTGTTCTTTTCTCTCTGCTGCAGAGAAAGCAAACTTAATTCATACTGAACAAGAAACAGAGATTTCCCATTTGAGGAAAGACTTCCATACTAAATTCTTGTAGGATGCTTTTCACTCAACCTGAATTGAGCTGTAGCTTTTATAGTTAGGAACTAGATTTGTACCATGCAAACTTTTACCTTCTGTACTCTGCAGTATGGGAGAAAACACATGAGTAATAAAATAAAACGTATTACAATTTCTAGTCAGTTTTATGAGATAATATACTAAACTGTCATAGCAGACAATTGCTCTGCTGATGTAGCAGGATACCTAAGTACTTTTCTGCACACCATTGTATAAAAAGTTTTTTTTAAGTTCCTTTTATACTTGATTTCTCAAAAAATTAGATTTCATTTAGAAGTTTTAATATAAAGTCTTATGGAATCCATTGTATGTCTTGTAAACCAGCAGCTTTAGATTAGAAGGTATACAAAACCACTTGTACAAAATAGAAATAATTTATAGATTGCCAAATTTCAGTTTCGATCCTACAGTAGCCTTCCCATTCTAGTGTGTTTTAGATATTGATTATGTAATTCTCATAACCCTTGCCCATTCATCAAGGATTCAAATTTTGTAAATTTTGTAAAATATACCACACTAGGAAAACATCTTTACAGCATAAATCCTGCCTCTCTCTATCCAGTCATCCACTTATTGAAGTAATTGGTAACTTACTGTTAATAACCAAACATCTGCAAACATATTACAGTAAAAGAAACTTAGCAACTGATTCTGAGTCATTGATTTATTAATTTTTTTTTTCAAAGAAATACATTACCTGAACAGGAAAAAATAGAAGACTTGTTAGTCTTCCATTGAATGTTTTTTTATTTCTTTCAGGTTGGGTAACAAAGCATGCACCACGTTTAATTTTTACTAATATTATCATAAAATTCAGAAAATAAATTTGATATTAGAAGTAGTCATAGAAAGATACCACTATTTTCCCAACAGTACATTTTCAACAATAATTTGGGATTTTGAATATTAAAATATGACACTGCTTATTTAGTTACATAAATCACTCTGTGTTATATCCTACGAAGTATTTATGATCAAGAAATAATTCAGGGATGTATGCGGATGAGGTAGGCTCTCCATTCTTCTTGCAGAGACCTATAGAAAAAATGCACAAAAAAAACCTATCTGTAATTGGAATTTCAAGGCAAAATAACTGAAGCCAGAAAAGACTGGAGGTAGGACTTTCTAATTTTTAAAAAAGTTTAATAGCAACCTTCCATAAGATTTGCGCTAGAGCATAAAGGAATTAATCCCTTTGCCTGTTTGCACTATAATACCTAAATTGTCTTGCTGGTTGCTATTTTTTCTGGGGCTTACATTACAACTATAGTAAGCACAACTTATTTTTGTTCAAAGGCAAAGTGGCAGTTTCTAAAGATGTGTGAGTTTGGGAAAAACATGTTTTCAGTTATTCAACTGTAGGAATACAATAATGGATTTCCCATTGCCTTAATTTAGTTTGACCCATTGTATGTACTGTATATGTGTAACTGTTATTCCAAATAAAACTTTAGGAGTTTAATAGTTGGCCCCAACCTTCATTTTTAACATTATATGATACTAAACAAATATGTCTTTAAAGTTTAAGAAGGATACCATATGAGTGCTCCAGATAATTTTTCCCATCCCAATCCTTCCCTTTCAAATAAAAAGAAATCATGAAAGATAATCATTCCAAATTCAGAGTCAGTATATGTTTCAAAAGCATTTTCAGTTAGGCCCAGCATATACTACCAGTAGTAGCACTTGCAATGGCAAAGAATTTAATGACTCACAGAAATTTCATAGGATTTATTTCATAATAGGAAAACTACAAATTCTGAATGGAGCTAATAAGGAGGCAACCAATTCTAAGCATGCACATTTTCTCCCAAGTGTCACTCTTGCCTAAATAATAGTGCATCCCATGATCAAAATAATTATTCACCTTATATCCTTCATCAGTTCTTTCAGTCTTTCTTCATGCACTATGAAATCAATCATGCTTAAAGATTGATAATTATTTTGCTATGCATATAATCATTCCTGTGCTTTGCCATGATGATACTTGTGTTTAACTCGCATATTTGAAACCAATCATTCCTATTCATTGTTGAGTCTCTGAATAACCCAGTTACTTTTTCTGTGCTCTGTTGTCTTTACCACCAAAGTCATCTCACCTCATGGTATTATGTTTTTTCCTAGGTCATTCTTTCTTTCCTTCTTTCTTTCTTTCTTTCTTTCTTTCTTTCTTTCTTTCTTTCTTTCTTTTTCTTTCTTTCTTTCTTTCTTTCTTTCTTTCTTTCTTTCTTTCTTTCTTTCTTTCTTTCTTTTATTTTGTTGCACAGTGTCTCCCTCAAACACATATAATATTTCCATTCAGTGGACCATAATCAATTATCACCAAACCATGGATTTCTACTTTTCATATACATCCACAACAACCTAAATGCCACTAATTCGTGAGAAATTCATACGTTTTAGCCCTTTCATTTATACACCTTCACTTCCATGCATGTGTTCATCAGCTCAAGTCTAGAAGATCAGAACTATTTACTCAGATCTATTAAATTTTTTCTCTTTTTTGTTTTACGGAGGCACAAGATATTTTCCTTTCAACTGTTTAATTCATTCTAAGTCATAGCCTTACATATACAGGTAGTCCTTTACTTACAACAGTTCATTTAGTGACACATTCAAAATTACAAGGGCACTAAAAATGTTACTTACGACCATTTTTCACAGTTACGACCTTTGCACCATCCCCTTGATCATGTGATCAAAATTCAGATACTTGGCGACTTTCATATTTATGACTGTTGCTGTGTCCCAAGGTCATGTGATCACCTTTTTGTGACCTGACAAGCAAAGTCAATGGAGAAGCCAGATTCACTCAACAACTGGGTTACTAATTGATCAACTGCAGTAATTCACACAACAACCAGGGCAAGAAATGGGGCAAAATTCACTTATCAAATCTCTCACTTAACAGAAATTTTGGGCTCAATTGTGGTTGTAAGTCAAAGACTATTTATATTATAGCCATTCCCAGATGGACCTGTAAATATTAACTTCAGTCACCCACCAGGGCTTTTTTTGAAGTTTTCGTGTTATACTTTACATTATACTTAGGATAGGAAATGTGTAGATGAGGTTACATCTTTGTCACATATAGGATACTATAATGATTTGTAATGCTGCCCTGGGAATTCACTTCCTACTGTCATCTATTTTTATTAACATTTGTTGTTATTACTGATATTTTAGTGTTGGTTATTTTTAATATTTTTTATTAATGAGATAATGTAGTTGAAAAAAGTTCAAACATTTATTTCTATATGCATTATAACTAGATATTATATGATAATTTTATCTTAAAGAATTGGTACCTCCCCAGCCTTTTCTTTTGTGTTATATCTTTTTAGATGTTAAACCTGAGAGCAGGGATTGTCTTTTCTTAATGATCTCAGAATCAAAGTGAGAGTTAATCTCTCTGAAGAGCAGTGGGAAAGATTGACACAATACTATTAATAAATTACCTCAGTTCATTAGAACACTCTTTAGTTTATTCACAAGGGGATTGATTCCTTGACCACAGAAATTGCCAGAGAAGTCATCCAGACCAAGAGTCCAGACCATGGCTCCTCCGTACTCTTTCCTCTTCAAAAACTCAGTCTGCAAAGAAAAACAGCAGCTTTTAGAGTTAGCCAAGTTGAAGGAAATTTATATTGAAAAGGGAAAAACCCTATAATCACTTCTTCCATTATGATGACCAAGTGAATGCTCCAGTTACTGTGTTAAAAACTGACCCACTGAGAAACAAGAGCATGTTTAAATTGTATAAGAATACAAAGATGTTTAGATTTATAGCTAATATATGGAATGCATAAATAGTCGGCTGGACATTTGATCAGAAATACTTCGCGCTATATTTTGTTATAAAATTTAGCAGTTCTATGTGAATCTTAAATAGGGCTCGTGCATCTGAGCTACAAAAATTCTGACTATCACTAGATGGCAATAAAAAGCAGTTGCTGTCATTTTATAGCCCTTTATTAGTTGTCTGGATTTTTGCAACTCGGAGATGGTGATCCTGCCTTAATGCTCTGGTTTTGTTGACAAAAAATTTTTTTGTATTATTCAATGGCATCAGGCCCAGATATGAATTTATACTGTGTAACAGCATGATAACTGTAATAAGCAGATGAAACTTTTCTATGTACATTGTATATTGGAAGTTAGTCATGATTTTATTTCATGAAATCTGGCTAAATTAGGTTTACCGGTAACTCAGTAATGATTACACAAAATGACAACTTACTTTAAACTGAAAACTTTTTTCATCATCATATGCAACCCATTCTCCATTTTTGAAAGCATATGGAACCTTCTGTTCTTTAATCCATGCTTTGCTAGCTCCTTGTAAGAATGCACAAACCTATCAAAATGATTATGATCTGTTTAGTCAAAGTAGTTCAAGAGAGAGAACAAAATAAAGCAGAACTGTTTTTACAATATTGGAATTAATTGCTATTAAAGAGCATTGTGGTTTGTGTGCTCAAATTTTAACCTACAGCAGATTCTTAAAAATAGATCTCTGTAGAATAAGAATAGGAAAAAAGATGTCTCAACTGATAGCCAAGAAAATGTTCTAATCTTTAGTGGGGAAAGAAATCCCAATTTAAGTGAGTTAAATTATAGTAAACAGAAACAATTTTGTTCTGTAAATATTTACTCAAATGTAAATTAAATTGCGACATTGCTCCCAATAAACTTGAAAATTATATTACTAAGATTTTCATATTGTTAGGTTTTGATCTTTTTGCCTCATCTTTCTTCCAAGTATTTTAGAGACACATTCATAGAAATATTTCTGCTTACTCTTTCAACAAACTCACAAAGCAAGTAAAGCTGAGAGAGAACAATTTACCCATGGCCATTTTATAATCTTACCTATGGAAAGTTCACCCTTAGGTCCACCTTGATAATAGTATGAAGCTGGCTTCTCACTGTTTTCTTGTGCAAGTTAGTTTGTAAATTAATAACCTCCCAGCCTAGCAAAGGCCCCTGGAATTTCCTGAAAATCTTCTATCCAAGCTTAAGCCAATCCAAACCTTAACTTCTGGAGATTAGCCAAGGAAAACTGGGGTTGCCACCTAGTTAAAGAAATTATAATTTTTAATCAAATGAAGGGCATTTACCTCATAATATGCCAGGATACCAGAATGTTTAGTGTAGACACCAGGACTGCCTCCACCAGAGGCTGGAGCACCAACATTAGTATTTGTACTAGAAAGTCTAAAAGTACGTGCATAAGTTGGATACCCCATCATCAGTTTTTCAGATGGTGCTCCACTATCATTCCAGTACTTCATTGCATACTCCTACAGTATAAAAACAAACAAAAATGATACACACACAGTCTGTTCACAGGACAGAACAGGATAGAGGAAGATCAAGAACAGTATAGTCATTTATTAGTCTGTTCAGCAGCAAATCACATCAGATGGACAAATAAATAGTCCCATCTTTTAGTGCCCAATTTTAGTGGAATGAGAAGCTATGGCTAAAGCAAATGCCTTTTACAAATAAATAATAATAAAAAAGATTGGTTCCAGCTTTCTCTATGTCTCTCTCCCTGAGCTAAAATACCTCTTTTTCTAGGTTCAGATTATCAATCATACCGTGGTTTCAATAAGTGAATTAATGATTAAAAATGCTTTCAAGTGGTTACAGTGTACATCATGCTCAGTGCATCATGATCTTTGCATATTATGCTCAGTGCTTCCTAAGTTTAAAAAAATGAGGATTCAAATAGATGAATTAACTAACTTGGGCTCCCGATTCAAGTGACCCATTAGTTACTAGGTTGTTTATAGGGTGCAAGTCATGTTACAGTCAGAGCTTGCTTAATCCTTTCTCAATTATTGTACCCAACTCAAGCTCTTCTGCATATCTTTTGCCTTTTGTCAGTGATATAGCAATTTTAGCATGAGGGGTTAAAAAAATAAGCCTTTAGCTAGCATCCTGCCTTTCTGAGACATAGAAAATTCAAACGTGTTTTGATTTTGACATACACATACATCAACTATCCTGAGTTTCATCCGTATTCTACATATGCTTGTATTGCTTAATCAAATTCCCACTATGAGTACTACAAAAGCTGTAGCAGATCTTTATGTTGCCATTTTTCTTACACAATTGTAGAAGGGAACTGGATCGTAGACTACTAAACCTTGATGCAATGGGCTGTTGTGTCCTGTCACTGAAGCCCAACTTCCATGGAAATCATAAGTCATCACATTGATAAAATCAAGATTCCTGATTGCAAATTAAAAATAAAAATTAAGAAACTATAAACAAACAGCCAGTAAAAAGGATAAAAAAACAATAGCTATTTTGGAACATAAATACATGTGTAATGGTAAGCTAAAGCAGGATGTAGTTAATGCTCTTTAGAAACCTGTCAAGAAACCTTAACAGAAATATCCCATATCACTTTTTCCCCAACCTGCTGCTAAGAGATAGGATAGACAGAACATTTCATCATCCCATTATTATCTATTATCCGATCTTACAGAGGTAATATTTCAAACAGTGGTACCTTAGCATTCAACTGCTTTGAAACTCATCAAATTTGGTAGGCCAGTAATTTCTTCTAACATCCAGTTCTTTGAACTGCTTAGAATGTTAACAACCGGTTCTAGAGAATAAGTGCGAACTGGTAGAAACCCATCCCTGAAACTAACCGATACAAGCTCTTTTAGAGGAATACGCTCTAAACAAGGAATAGGAGAGAATCTAAAGAAGCCTCTAAGTCCAACATACAGTACTCCTTTCTCACTATCTTTGGTGGTATAGTGGAATCTTACGGGCATACTGAAATCTCTTTTGCAACATGAGAGGGAGGGTGGAGGAGGTTCTAAGGCAGCTTCCCAGGAAAGGAGCAATGATGTGCATTCCAGATTGTAGCTTCAAGCTCCAATCCTATAGCTCTTTACTTGGAAAAAAAGCATCCCTGAATTCAGTCAAACTTATTTCTGTAGACATGCACAGAATTGTACTGTTAGTCATGAAAGAGTATAAGAATATTTGTAAATAATACAAAAACTAAGTTGGAACTTCAGTCCTACCTTTGCTATGTATTTTGCCATTCTAAATAAATAGAGGCTAGCTATAAATACATAAGTACTTCATACATGTTCAAAAATATGCTATCGTTTTATTTATATATTATTTCAATAAAATATGTATTCTAGGACTGGGTTCTAGAGCAACATTGTGATAAGAGGACAATTCTGAATGGCAAATCTTAATTGGAAATTGATTTTCAATTTTAATTTTAAAATAAATTTTTACTGCAGTTTGACTGTTGTTGATTTCAGAAGGTCATTCATTGCAGAATATCAAACCACAACAGCCTACAAGATTCTTTTATGGAAATTTCCATTAAAAGTTTATGCTTTCAGTTTCATACCTGAATCAAAATGGTAAAGAGATGTTTGTCCTCTGGAGGGCTACCTTTGGACCCTGGATATTCCCAGTCCAGATCCAGACCATCAAATCCACGCTCACGGAGAAAAGGTATAACTGATGAGATGAATATCTGGCGATTTGCTGAAGATGATACCATTGTAGTAAATCTAGAAGACATACATTATTTTTGGACAGCATAATTTTCAATGTTCATTGGCATGGGCCCCTCTTTTATTTCCACAGAACATCATGAACCGTAGTTAGAAATTGGCAAGATCCAGCACTTAACCATCTTAATAAATAAAAATAGAAAATGCTCCATTTGTTTCCAAGTTCGGTCAAATATTTTCAGAGTTTGTAGGGAAAGCTACATGTCCCAATTTACAGTTTAATTTGGTAAACTATTCTATTTTATTAAAAAGTTATGTGAAAACCTCAGCTGATCAGAGCCTTGATGATCAATGGAGATCAATATTCATAGGTCTTCTCATTGATAACTGTGGTATATAGAACTTTGTAATTCAGAATGGAAAAGGAGTATTTGAGAAGGAAGAAAATTTCGAGAAGAGGAAGATGCATGGTCTAATCTCATGGATAATGCAGGGATAAGGTTAGGAATATATTAAAATACAGTTGTGCAGTTTGTTTTACATGTATGAGAAGAATGCTGTTACTGTTCCCTGTTACAAAACAAATGTCAGAAGAGCAAATACTACAGAATGGCAGATTGTTTATTAAGTGTGATGGAAGTGATGTTTCACAGAATTCTGACAAAAATAGTAGAAGAGTAACAATGAAAAAAAATTGGAAAGAACAGTGTACTTTTCTGCTAGATAGGAATTGTGTGGTCCAGATCTTTGTTCTTTAGCAGTTCATTAAATGTGATGATGAGTATTTATGTATTATATGTATGAATTTGAAGAACTGAGACGTATTCTCCAAGTCTGAAGGTCCTTCCTATGGCTTCATCAAAGTATTATCCACCAGTTTTTGTAAGAAGTGAATTTTGATAAATGGCTAGATTGCCAAGTTTCATGAAAATATTTTGACGATGCTTCTAAGACAGCCTAACAAACACTTGATATCATTTGGGCTCCTTTGCAATATAGAATCAGTGCTATCTTGGAACAGCATTGTGTTCAAAAACATTGTAAATAACAGCAGAGAAATGAGGAGAGCTATGCTGCTAGGAATGTAAGTAACCTAACAGCTATTTGGGAGGGAAATATATAAACCAGGATAGACATTTTAATACTGTCTCTTTAAGAGCATGCTAGAAACTGCAATTGGGTATAGTTACTCAAACGGCCATAAGATGGAGCCAGAAACCTGGGTTGTCTTAGTCTTAGTCTCAGAAGAGAGTGTGAGTGTATCTCTGTTTTCTTTCTGTTGGAGAGTATTGCCGTTCCATTTTTCCTGATTGACTGATATTCCTGGATTTGATGTAAGTCTGATACTGAACTGTTTTTGACACTGGACTTTGATATTGTAATTATCCCTGGATTGAAAACTGACTGATCTTACCTGTGAATGACTTTGGACTGTGTTTGAACCTTGCTTAACGTTTCTGAAAGTAAAAACCTACATTTACTGTACAGCGTATCTGTGTGCCGTGTGTGTATTATTCAAACACTACTCTCAAATACGTCTCCCTGTATGTGTTCATTCTCCTAACGGGGAATTACCTCAACATATGCCATGCAAGAATAAACAAATAGGTCTTTCTCTCCTTCTTTGCCATCTACCACCAACGCTGCCACACAAATAAACTAATCCACATCTCTGAGTTGATGATTAGAAAATAATGTCCAGGGATTGGAGGGGAAGAGATATGGCCAATGAAAGCCAGGCTGATCCCACTCAGTAGAGACCACCCAACTGAGTCATCGACAGATTGGAAAGTAAAGTGTAAAGCATATGAGATTATATCCTTGGTAAATCCATGCTGGGATAGGGGCAAAACATAAAGACGAGTATGATAAAGGCATGTAAGTCTGATTCAAGCATGGACCGGGAAACAGACTAAGGCAGCGGGGAGGGGGGGGGAGTTATCCCAGCATTTTTATACTGTAATTATATCAAGTAAGAAAAACAAATCTTACTCAATTTTCTCTATCATGCCTTAAATGTCACATTACAAATCACCAATAAAGCAATGTAACATGAAGATAGGGGTAATGTTGCAGGAAAGGAGGAGTTAACACATAGATTCACTGCTGTTTCCAAAGCTAAGCTAGCTTAAACTGGCCAAGACAAAACTGTCTTTCTGTCAGAGTTTTCAGCTTGTTTTGTTTGTTTCCCCCAGCGAAAGCAGTGGTGTAGAAAATTAGCTGTGAAGCCTTCAGGTTGAAGAGCAAAATCCACTTTACAGGAGAAATGGGGAAATTGAAATACTTTAGACTGAGCAATAAACAGTGTTTGCTTGACTTCTCCATAGAACTTTCTGTGTATGTAAATGTGGCTTACATCATCTTTTTGCCAGCAGAATTCCTTCCCAGCTGCAGAGATGGAATCTCCATCCCTTTCTATCTCCTTTAGACCAGATTAAAAATCACATTATTACAAATATATGGCCTCTTTCAGTGAAAAAGATTAGGAGAAAAGGCTTACTTTTGGTTATTAAAGGTTCCCCCTCCAACAGCCAGCAATGTGAGTAAATTGTTATTTCTGGAAAGCAAAAATAATAATATAAACATTCTGTGTATATTGACAATCAACAATACACATCTCGAAAAATTATCCCAAGATTTCCATCAACTGTTTCCTTGTATATGTATACCACAAGCTAATAGCCTTTGAGCTGTAGTGGTGTAGTCATTAGAATGCAGTAATGCAGGCTACTTCTGCTGACTTCCAGCTGCCTGCAGTTTGCAGTTCGATTCTTACCAGCTGAAGGTTGACTCAGTCTCCTATCCTTCTGAGGTCGGTAAAATCAGGCCCCAGATTGTTGGGGGCAGAATACTGATTCTGTAAACCGCTTAGAGGGACTGTAAAGCACTGTGAAGCAGTTTAGAAGTCTAAGTGCTATTGGTATTGCTTTGAGGAAAACTTTGTCCCAAGGATTTATTGACACAGTAGCGATTAAAGAAACCATACATGATAGACCAGAATATACAAGGCTTTCACATTCTTGGCTTCTCTGGCAGTTCCAATAGTGATAGAGAACAGCATTTCTCCTTTCTCTTTCTCACTGATATTTCCAATATAATTTGGATTTCTCAAACAAATCTAAAAATTCAAGGCTTACGCTAGTATTATTTTAGTTAGATTATGATTTACTATGATTCTTTGAATTATTATTTTCTTCTAGATGAAAAGCTTGGGTCCGTCTATCTCATACTCAACATACTCAGCTGGCTGTTTATGTTTGAAACAGGCTAACGATATATATAAACATTCATAACTAACATTTGCATTTTCCTAATGGTAAAAGAGAGAAAGAGAACAGAGAACCACTGGCTTTTAAATTAAGACATTCCATTTTATGGGATATATATACTAGGGATATATCTGTAAAAAAAGAGTTATTTGCATATATTGGTTTGATCCCTATGAAATATATCCACTCCAAGCAATATCCAATGTTCCTTCATCCATAAAACATACAATTGGTTTGTGTAAAGTTGATTGTGAATCATCTTGCTTCAAAGTGAGATTCCTAAAGTTATATCAAAAGAGCCTGGCTAAGCTAGGAAAAACACAAAACTATAGAGAAAGCTCTATAATATCCTTAAAATAATTTGAAAAACAAAGAAAAATACCCATACTCTCAGAACTGAGTAGGGGAAAGGGATGTCATTCAATATTAACAATATTAACAATAACTAAATATCCACAACATAGTGATGATTATGTGATGATCCATAAGGTCTGAATTAAGCATCTTTTTTCTGTTTTTCCTGGTTTTGGTGCTGTCATCTCATCGATAAAGGCAATATTATTGTTTCACAAATATATTTCTTCAGAAAATTACTTGCCTTTCCTTTAGGGCATTGAGTTTTCTGTAAAGTGTTTCATCATTCCATTCTCTAGTTGTAATTTGATTGTTGTCCATATCCGCAAAAGCAAAAATCAAGTGGGTGCACAGAAATGGATCTATGTTATCTGGGGTGAACATGGCTGGTTCTTTCCTATACTGAGCCCAGTTGGTGACATAACAAACAAGTTTGTAGGTAGAACCTGAAAACAGATATTACAAATGGCTAAAACTGCATGCAGTTTATCTTCACTATAACACTTGCCTTCTTCCCAGATGGAAAACCACAATTCCACTGTATTTAGAATAGTGGAAAATGGTAAACTATTAAAAAATGTAAAGTATGCACATATGTACATTTGACCTTTGAAAGCAGTACTGACTCATTTATACGATTAAATTGAGTCAAATTAAAAGGTTTCTGAAATAATTAGTTTTTCCAAGTTAAGTGGCTTGTTGTATGAAACAGTGATATTTTAAGATAAGTGACTTTTTCATAAATGAGACATTAGCAACTTCAGCTAAGAACCAGGAATATTTTGGAAAAAGTAGGAACATTACAGGGAAGGCAGATGTCACAAGCTTCAATATCGCTATGCATTCTTTATTTCTGGACCTGGGGAACTAACTGTCTCTGTCCTTTTCATTATAACCCATTTTTTATTATTCTTTGTGCTGTCTGTTGACATAGCTCAAAGTATCCAGAAAAACTCTATATATGACTCAGTCATGCATCTGAAGTTGTTCCATCATCTATCTTCTCTGGCAATAATAAAAAAAAAATAGAGTAGAATAGCATTTTTTTATTCCATCTAGAACAGGGCTGTAAAACTGCTGGCTCGTGGGCCAGATATGTCATGTGTTGACCATGCCCACACCAGGTTTAGCAAAGGAGGGAAAGTCCTGATGCATCACGTAACACTGCTGTGACGTGAGTTTGACACCCCTGATCTAGAATAACCAGTAGGAGTATATAGATACTAGTCAGCATTTATATACTATTTATTGATAAGGATTTTTGCTCTAAATTATGTGTAAGGCAACTGATAAAACATTGTAGAGTTATTCAGGTCTTAATTATACGAGGGGAAAAAATTATTCTGCTGAAATAATTTGTCTGCTAAACTTCCTTGCCTACATATTTTAAAGCAAATATGGGAGAAAAAAAAACCCTGAAAGTTTCATCCAATGAGATAAAACTCAGAAACTAAAACTTGATCTGTCTAGGGCTAATGAAATTGAATTTAAAATTCTGTCAGCAAGTTGGTTTTGAGGGAAATCTGAATATATGCAGTAGCTACAGAGTGGGGGGAGAACATCATCAAGAGTTTTCAGAAGTCACTAGAAAGAAATTAGTCAGGATCAGGAGGCCATTGTTAAAACCATTGTAGTTTGGGGAAAAGCAGAGCTTCAACATAGTAAATTAGTCCAAATAGAAGATTGCCCTCTGTACTCCTCTTAATGCTGATTAGTGTCTATACTTCCTCCTGTAAGTTTGTTCTATTAGAGACTTGCAGGAATGCTATGTTCTTTTAAAATATAGCATAAAAGAATCATGTAATTATGTGATCCAAGGAGAACTGGAAAATCCATAGCTAAGGAGGCAAATTTGGCCTATGTTTTAAATAGGGATTCTAATTAATTTCGATCTCTCTTGCTCTCACATAGAAAGAAGTATTTAAGAAAGTATACACAGGCTTAACTCTAGATGTGCTTTATTTCTAAAACATTCACTACTTTTACTGTATCTTTTTAAATTCTGCTTCTGGTCATGCTAAGACAGGCTGCTTAAGATTTTTTGAACTGATCTCCTCAATTAACAAATACAAGTAAAAGAGTCCTACCAAGCTGCAGATTCAGCAGAACAATGAAACCTGCAAAGCAAAAATGCTCAACATCAGGAGTAGATAAGAGGTTACAATAGACATCATGTATTATTTATTTCCTAAACTGTAGACAGATGATCAAATGAGTCAATAAAATATGACAAAATAAATATCTGAGATCAACTAAATTCAACAATAAATTGCTCATCATCTTTAAAACTACTAGGTATAGTTTTTTAAAAACAAACTTTATTGATTATACAACTAAAATATCAAACAAACACATACACAACACAGAGAAAAAAAAGAAGGAAAAAAGAAAAAAAGATTAAAAACTAGCAATTCTATTATCGACAGTCTATGGTTCCTTGTTTGTTATCAATATTGGTGATATATTTACAAATACATCTTATTGCAAATAGGATTGTAAAAAAAACCATTCATTTCTTTAGCACTATTTTCCTTATTTGTAATAAGGCTGATTCCTACTTCCCACTTGCCCAGGCACAAGGATGGGCACTTCCAACAGTTTGGGAAGAAACAAATGATTGGCTGCATCCTCAGCCCTTCCCTACCATGACCTGTTGGGCAGGGGACCTCCACCTGAGTTTTCTGGCTCTGCGTCAAGAGTAGTGTTTTTTCCCCTCTATTCTGGAAGCAGCAAGGCAGTCTACATTCTGTCTCCTGCCCGTCATTCCATCCTACATAGATGACTTTGCTTCAGTTGTTTGGGATGTGCTCTGATGGGACAGGCCCCCTTCCATGGATCTCTGGTCTCTGCCTTCAAGGGCCATTTTGTCCAGGAAAACTGGAGGTGCCTGTTGTGAAAGGCTGGATCTTTGATATGGGTTTTGTTTCTTTTTTTAAATACAGTCTCTGGTGGAATTATGAAAACCTGGCCTTCCTTTTAACTGTTTGAAGCTTGACAGGGTTTTGCCACATTTGCCAAAAAAAAAAAAAATAATTGATGTTCTTACTGCTCTACTCTAAAGTGGTTGCAAGTGGTAGAAAGCACTGTAAAATGGTTGTTTTGTCTTCAGAAGTTTTGCTCACTAAAAAAAAAAGCAAATACTGCTTGATTTTTCTATCATCCAAGGAAAAGGAAGCAGGGGAATTATCAATCAGGGATCATGTTGACTATGACAGACCATCTGGCCGTTGCTGTAGCCAAAAAAGAGGAAGAGGTAAAATCCAGAAAGGGGTTCCTTAAATTGGCTTTCTTTCTAGCCAATTTACACAGTGAGACAAGTAGGCAAAGGCTATAGCACAGAAAAACCAATAAATATGCATGTTCACTCACCGGCCCAAAGTTTTGGATTCCCCATTTGGACACCTGCACCTAACCAATCAGATGCATACAGATAAGACAAATAATTACAGAGATGCTTCTGCACTTTCTTAAAAGTTAAGTCCATAATCTTGAATATTAGTCCATTTAATGCTTTACTTTTAATGTCTTATTTTAGTTGCAATTACTGATTTGGAAAAAGCAAAAATTTAACAAAATTGTTCATTCCATCCTTTTCAAATTAGCAAGTTTTAATGCCGTTGACATTGTAAGTCATCTCTGCATTCAGCATAATAATCAATGTGCAACAGAAAAGCCTAAACACTCAAAATCCATTTAAATAATTCTTCACATACCTATTAGCTTGAGAAAATCGTTGCAATTGAAACAGCCTGACTGTCTCTGTTATGCTTCTGCCCATCTGCAAAGTTCTGGAAAGGAAGGAACTTCTCCTATCTCCAGCCTTTGCAGAAATCACTTTGTCATTCTCCACACCCAGATTGTTGGGTGTTTTTTTTAAACTTTCAAGAGCTCCTTATGTCCCTATTAAGTAAACACAAGTCAAGCAGGAAGTCAAGCAGACCTAGAGAAATTACACATATATCAACTTGACCTCAATACATGAAAAAAAATCCTAGAACAATAATCAAGCACTTAGAAAGAAACAAGGGGATTACTGAAAGTCAGCTTGTGTTCCTTAAAAGCAAGTTATGTAAACTCAATCTTAACTGCTCCTTTTTTTAAGAAAATAAACCAAGTAAATGCTATGGATAACACATATTTAAGCTTGGGTTAAACATTGGATTATGTTCCTTCAGAAAGTGGAGCTATCTGGAATGGACTGCCAGATGATTTCATAGTTGGATTAATGACTATATGCAACACATGGTGCTTAATGGATGTATATCTACCTGGGGAAATATACCTCACGCTTCTGTTTTTGGAGCAAACATACTTCAATATTTTTATAAATAACGTAGATAATGTCATAAAAGAGATATCAGCAAATCTGCAGATGATACAGTGCTGGGGGTTGGCATTGCTAACTTCAGAAGACAGAGTCAAGATTCAAAGGGATCTTGATAGATTTGAATATTGGGCTGAATTCAACAAGAAGTGTTCATTAGTGATAAATGTAAGGTTTTATACCTAAGTTGATAGTACTTTTGAGAAATATCTGAGAGTCCTGATAGGCCACAAATTAAGCATGAGCCAACAGTATGCTACAGGTGCCAAAACAGCCAATGCAGACTTGGACTACATCAAAGAGAGCTAACATGGAGATGACAGGAAGTGATAGTTTTACTCTACATTGCACTGGTCAGTTTGCATCTCCACCTAGAATCCTGTATTCAGTTTTGAATATCACAATATAGAAGAAGGATGCTGAAGAAGTGGAAAGATTACAGAGAAGAAGAATAAAATTTATTTATTTATTTATTTATTTTTGTCAATTGCTTACAAAATAATAGGTATAAGTAAAAACATAGTTATGAATACATGGATACATATAAGAAAAATAAAAAATAAAAATAAAAGAAACAAGTTGATGTGAGGCTTGGAGGTTAAATCCTATGAAGAACAAAAGTTAAAGGAACTTGGTATGTAAAGCCTAAAGGGAAGGCTAAAGGGAGAATGATAACAGTCTTCCAATATTTTAAAGGTGGTGACAGGGAAGACAGTGTGGATTTATTCTCTGTAGAGGTCAAGGGTAAGATAAGAATAATAAGTGGAAGTTTTACACAGAGATTCAAACTCAGAATGAGGAATTTTCTTGTTTTCAAACTGTTGAACAAGAAATTTGAACAAGATAATCTAAGAATTCCTATCCTAGATTTGATGTTACATTTATGGTCCCTTCCAACCCTCTGATTCTATGATTCTAAGCAGAAAATATCTATGAATAGTGTCGCTTCGAAACAACATGGGCTGCAAACATTTAATATATACAATAGAAACAAAGAAACAAGATGAAAGGTATTACTTTGAAGATCTTAGCAGAAACAATATTTTCATAGAATATGCAGACATAAACTTAAAACAAAACAAAAAATCTAGAAACAAAACCAGAAAGAAAAAGAGGAGGGGAAAGAATATGTAATAGTCTTTTACCTTGGGAGTTCAAAATATTGATGAGGATAATAGAGAAAAACATGGATAATCAACATTTACTATATCTGAAATGATATTTTGATAATGAAACAATCTGTCAGGGAAAATCTGTGTATGGTGCTCAAATAGGGCTAAACCTATTATCCATTAAGGGATTTGTTTTTCCTTGTAAAATTTCCTCCAATGTTAATTGTGTTCGCATGTTCTGGTGTTTCACAATAACAGCTTCTAACCACAATACAGCTCCTAAATATAGCAAATGAATCATTTTTCATGCAAGTTTTTATCTGTTCTGGAAAATGTAAACAATAGTCATGCTGCATCACTTACCTGTTGTATTGTACTATGGAACGTGTTTCTTTGGCTTTGTCCTTACCCCAAGCAATTTCTGGGTTTGTCCCCAGAATGAACTGTACACTCAGAATGATAGGTAATACAGTCTACCAAATTACATGTCCAGAAAGATTGGAGCAATGCACTGAATATACAAGAAAGAAGAAAGACTTCAGTCACATGGTAGTAGATGCTATTTTGCTTGTTTTTAAATAGGACATATTCAAGAGTAGCATTTTTTAATAAGCACCATCAAATGTTTGTTCTACATAGTTGTTGTGAGATTAAGCTAAATCTCTAAAGAAGAAATTGGTGAAAACTCCTATAATCAATACCAAGAGCCAGATTCCTTTCTTGCAACTAAAATCAATTGCAGTGGACTTCTTTCAGGAAGGAAAAGTATATAACTAGTAATCACATGGGAGAAGAATGAAGCACATTCATTTCAGCTGCTGGTAGATCAGGTATAAACCATCAATTGGCTAGAGTCCAGTGTTTTCCAGCAGTGTTTAGAATAGCAGCCAGGTCATTTTATATAAATCTTGTTCAATGAATGCTCAAAAGAGCTGTTTTTGATTGCAGAGATTATATAGGCAGTACGTGGCTCAACAATAGTAACTCTCAGAGGGATCTAGGTGTCCTAATGGCTCATCATTTATGCATGAGCCAGCTGTGTGCTGCAGCTGCCAAAAGAAGCCAGTCTAGTCCTAGGCTGCATGAACAGAGGAATAGCATCAAGGTCATGACAAGTATTAGTACTACTCTATACTGCGTGAGTGAGATATCACGTTTTCCCCCTTCATGGAGCTGGGGTGGGTGCGGCCTGCTTGTGATGCCTCCCGCCTGCAGGCCACCAGTTTGACACCCCTGGAAGGGAACTAAGTATGTTTAGTCTAATGAAGAGGATTAGGGGTGACATGATAGCTGTCTTCCGGTACTTGAGGGGCTGTCACAGAGATGAGGGGGTTCACTTATTCTCCAAAGCACCGGATGGCAGGACAGGAAGTAACAGGTGGAAGCTCATAAGAGAGTTCCTGACAGTGAGAACAATTAATCAATGGAACAACTTGCCTCCCAGAATTGTGCTTGCTCCATTGCTGGAAACTTTCAGGAAAAGATTGAATATCCATTTTTCCAGAATGGTATAAGGACTCTTGCCTTAGGTTGGGGGATGGCCTAGAAAACCTCCAAGGACTATGATTTTATTATCTCTTGTTGCCATTAGATGACCTTTCAAACACCTGATGTGTTTCTGCATAAATGGTAATAAAGGAGCTTCTTTCTTCATTTCTTTCACTTCCTGCAAAGCAAAAGCGGTTATTGTTCTCAGGCCTGGATACTGGCCTTCTGTAAACAGAAATGCACCCAATATTTCACATTTAGTATAATCTCAAGAAAACATTGCTGTGTGAAGAGTAACATGTTGCATAATGATACTCGACCTAAATCGGCTTAGTTGCATCATGTACTAAGTTGGGCAAGATTTTACCATCCTCCATAACCCTGCCTAATTAACAGGACCAAAGTGAAGTATGCAAATGAAACAAAATGTGATGCACACATATGCAAACATTTAATATGTTTTGGTACAGAACTAAATTACTTAGTACAAAATTGCAATTTGTTGTTTTTGTACATATTTTATTTTTTCAGGTTGCTGGACTCTCAAAGGATATGTGGGAGTCAAATCAAATACGGCACACAGGAGGCAGTAGTGGTCAAGAAAAACGCATGGCGGACAGAGGTGTGTGTGAGGTGTTGCACCGGTTGGAAATGCTACAACAGGGGACGGCGTGGGTTAGGAAGGTTGCCTGGGGATGCTTGGGATTCTGCAAGAGGTGCTGTACATGTTAAGAGACAGCATTTGGGGCAGTGCAAGTGCTAAAGGGGCTGCATGGGTCAGGAAGAGTGCCTGGAGTGCACCAGAAAGGTAATGCAGGCCGGGGAAGAATCATGGGGGCGGGAAGGTTGCATGGGGGTGCCTAAGAGATGCCATACGAGTCAGTACATGGGAGCACAACATGGATCAGGGTGCGCAGACAAGCACAAGAGATGCTGTATGAATCAGGGAGGGTGAGGAGGGGACAGTGAAGATCAAGGAGAGTGTGCTGGGGATTCCTTCCTCTTTATTTGGCCCTTCTTTCCCTTTCCTTTCCAGCAGGCACGTTGGGTGGGAGAGGGAGCAAGAGATTGCAAAACTGGCTTGGAAATTGTCATGGAAAGTTGAAAATGAAAGTCACGTGACCTCCAACAGTAGCCAATAGCATGAAGCACCCACAACTTCCCTGAATTTCATTCCTTTGGGAGCTGTGGGTCCTGGATTTTGGACACATTCTGCATTTGAGGTAATTCAAATATTGCTGCCTTATAATGCACTATTTTCGACACTTAAAGGTCATGAGAGTTTTAGTATACTATGTACTTAATATTCACACACACACAAAATATGTACACTGTATCTAAACCAGTGGTCGCCAACGGTGAAAATTTTGGTAGGCCACAGAGAAATCTCACCCCCAGAGCACTTAAGTAATTAATCCAGGCTGCGCAGAAACACAAGGCTGCACCACCCACATGGCCCGCGGAAACCCTCCCCACCCACTCATTCCTTACCTGGCAAACTTACCTGCTAAATTGCTATTTTTCCTTTTTCCGACCATCAGGTGTTCTGCTGTGCCGGGAGATTTAGATTAGTTAGAAATCAGGAAATGGTTGGATTTCTTGCTTTCTAACAAGATCTTTAGATCTTTGGCTCTGCTTTTAAGCACAGCCGAACCTCCCTTAGGACTGAAGGTTCTATTATTCAGTACAGACTGACGGCAAGAAAAATTGAGACTGAGCTAGACGATGGCAGATAGATAGATCACAGAATGATTCTGTGAGCAACTCAATCTGCCTGCCTGCTTTGGCTGATTTTGGGTAAAAGTTGCTCTTTTTTATTAAAAATTCAATATTTACATACATGGTATGTTGTGAGTTAATTTTGTGAGTTTGCTTGCAAGCAAATTTTATGTGACAGACTGAGCTAGCCAATGGCAGATAGATAGATCTCTGAATGAATCTGTGATTCTATGAGCAACTCAAATCTGCTTGCCTGCTTTGCCTGATTTGGGGTAATCAGAGAATTTCAATCAGAGAAATAGCAGAAAATCCCAATGGGCCACAAAGTTCATCAGCCAGTGAAAGCAAGTAACAGAGCTGTTTCTATATATTTTTAAAACGTAAAGGCTAAAACTGAAAACCCAAAATGCTCTTTTTTAATAAAAAATTCAATATTTATATAAATATTTATAATATTTACATACAAGCCATGCCCAGCCAGTCACATGACCAAGCCACACCCACAAATTAGGCCACGCCCACAGAACCGGTTAGTGGTCCCTGGGAGTTAAAATTATGAGTTTGATGGTCCCTGAGGTCCAAAAGGTTGGCGACCCCTGATCTAAACAACTTTATCTGATCAAATAAGAGTAAATGGAGTGTAGCAGCCTTTGTTGGCTCAAAACCATTTTTTTTCTCCAGCATTTCATTTTGTTTTTAATTTTTCTTGATAGTTTAAATGTATAAGAGAAGATTATTTTATTTTTGAGAGCAAATACAAAAACACACGTGGTCAGTAGAATCTAAATTTCTTTACTGAGACTTTAATCAATGCCTCCATCTTACCACCAACCACAGTGCTGAAAAATCAGAGTACTAAGAGAAAACAGAATAAGGAATGGTCCCTTTCTTTCAGAGGTAAAACATGCTTTGAAGAACATTGCAATATAATGATAGAAGTCAGGATATTTTCCTTCACTAAGTGTACATCTTGCATTTCAATCAGAGAAATATCAGAAAATCCCAATGGGCCACAAAGTTTATCAGCCAGTGAAAGCAAATAACGGAGCTGTTTCTATATACTTTTTTAAATGTAAAGGCTAAAACTGAAAACCCAAAATTCCCAGACAGCAAGTACCAATTGCTGGAAAATCAAAGCTTTTCAACAAAATACAGCTGCTGCCATTTTAGAATGAAGGGAAAACATATCTTCTGTAGCTCTACTTCTTTTGTCCCCTATAGAAAAGGAATTTTCTGAAAGACATTTTTAAAAAGATATTTCTGATTTAACAAATGAGATAGCAGATGGGATTCCTGAAACTTCAGTTTTGTATGTGCACCTTGTTTTATGGAGAAATACTGGAAATAAGAGATGGATACAAAATAATTCTACTGACAAATTACAGAAAATACAAACTTACAAAACTCAGCATCAAAACAAAACACTCTGGGCTGTATGAAGCCAGACAGAAGAGTTACAGCCAATGTGCTGAACTATAAATGCACTTGCAGAAATTATTCTTAAACTCTGCCCTTGATAAATGTACTAGCAACCTTGTGTCTACACCTGGACAATGCTGTCCCTTCTTTCCTCTCCCAGTAGCTCATGCTAGAGAAAGGATTAGTCCAAACCTTCCATTTCAGAGATTTCTAGATCTTGAGAAATAGTCAGCCGAGCAGTTCTAAACACCCTCGGTTTTTAAAGGCACAACAGTAGATATTCAGTTGGCACCAGAAGCCACTTCTACCCCTGGTAAATTGTATTCAACAATGTGAGATGACCTGAAACCAAAGAACTAGAAAACAAGAAGGAAATCTAATTCTGGAATTCTGTACTTGGCAAAATGAGAGGATAAACGTCTGCAGTGCCCCAGTTGATCCATTTGCAATTCTTGGAAAGAAGATTCTCTGAGGATGAAGAGCTGCAGCAGCTATTGTAAGCTAGCAGCAAACCATTCTTATGCAGAGACAAATTTCAATCCATGTAGCCATCAGTGCTTCTAAGGCATTCTTTCAGATTTCACCTTAAATTATCACAAATTGCTGGAGATAAAGAAAACAGCAACTGGGGAGTCCAGTATTTCCACTTGGCTCTTAACCAGGAGGGCTGTTCTGCCTTTCCAGTGCCCTATCTTAAGTGTGCAGAGATCACGAGAAACTGTTCCTTCTTACTTCACTCCATCCATTTGTTCACTTCACTTCTTCCTACGAATCTTGGGCTTCTTCACAGGCCGGAGGTAAGGATTGTCTATCAAGTTCTCCTCTCCATTTCGACTGCCAGAAAGGGAGGTATTGTGCTGAAGTACTGATGCATTCTCCTTCTCAGCTCCTGAATCATCCTGGCAGATAAGACATAAAGTGAATATTATCAGATTCGAAACTGAAAAATCAGTATCCATAAGAAAAACTAAGATAGAAGAGAAACAGATATACAGGACCCCCTGCAACAGGCACCCAACCCTGGTACATCCCAGAGAACGCAATGCCTTCTGCTGAATAATGGAAAAAAACATTCTGGAATTAAAGTAGTATAAGATTGAGCATTGATGAGGTTCGCTTTTCAGGATTAAAAGCTGCTGTTGAAGAAGAGGGAAGAATGAGGTAATTCATGCCATAATCCTGTTTTGTATGTAGTTTTGAGGATGTATTACTCGGAACTCTGGTGATCTGGCAATATTTTGTTTTTAAATGGATATTTTGCCACTTTAACATTTAACCAGATAGTTTCTCAAACAATTGAACCAGTGATCCCTATCTTGCAATGCTATATGTTTAATTGTCCACAAGGTTGTTCTTTTTCTGGAAAACTCTCAATTTAATCCACCTGTTAATCCACATGCCAGATTCCTGCCAAATGAAGATGGAAGCATAGCTCTCATCTATCATCAGTATAAACCTGGATCAGACTGCAGCAATATTAGACTGTTCAAATCAAAACCAAGGACGTGTTTTATCTTTCTACATTTCTCTTCCCTTATACAGGTTCATTCTTCTGTAGCTGCAAAAGCTGCCCCAAAGAGGAGGAGGACTGGGAAAATTCTTTGCTGACGGGAGATTCATGCCCAGTGTCAGCAAAATGGTGACTACTTGTTTCCATCCCAACAACAAACTCGCCAATGCCACCCCAAAGGCCTACCTGAATAACAACCTTCTCCCTTATGATCCTCACCTCAAATACCTTCCAGTAACTTTGGATCGGACTCTCTCCTATAAGAAACACCTAGAGAACATGTCCGCTAAAATCAATACCAGAAACAACTTGCTCCAGAAACTAAGAGGATCAAGATGGGGCACCTCAGCCTCTACTCTCAGATTATCAGCACTAGAGTTGGTCTACTCCACAGGTGAATATTGCACTCCATTTGGCTTAATAGCTGCCACACCAGCAAGATCGATGCTGGACTAAATGATATGAGGAGGATCATAAGCAGTTGCATAAAATCTACTCCTACTTGCTGCTCACCATCTTGAGCCACATAGTACCACCTGCCCTACGAGGACAGGAAGCCTTAGTGAAGGAGTACAACAAAATTATGAGAAACCCTCTTCTTCCTGTGCACGCTGATCTTCCTCATCTATCAATTGGCAGGCTTAAATCCAGGAAGCCCTCTCTGGCGTTCGCTCAAGCCCTCTCTGGCACTCCATTATTAGCTGTCTAACAACTCTGACATCAACCCACAGCAGAAAGCCAAATGGGCTGCTGAACACCCAGATGGAATATGTGCCTACTTCTTAAGAAAGCTATCCACTGCCATAGCCAAACCTCTAAGCATAATCTTTGAAAAATCTTTCAGGACCAGCTCCTTGCCTAACCTATGGTCACAAGCCACAGTCATCCCCATCTTCAAAAAGGGAGACCCAAGCCTAGTTGAAAATTACAGGCCAATCTCCTTATGCTGCGTCACCTGTAAAGTCATGGAATCAATTATTAACCAATCCATCATCCTCCACTTAGAGACAAATAACCTACTCTCCAATAAACAATTTGGTTTCAGAAAAAAACTATCCTGTAATCTGCAACTCTTACACTGCAAAAACATATGGACGACACAAGTCGACCAGGGCAAAGCAATAGACGCAATCTACATAGACTTCTGTAAAGCCTTTGATTCAGTGGTACACGACAAACTACTCCTAAAAATAAAATCCTATGGTATCTCTGGACAACTGAATAACTGGATAGAAGCATTCCTGTCAAACAGACAACAAATGGTCAAAATCGGGAGCGTACTATCAAATCCAGTACCTGTCAATAGTGGTGTTCCCCAAGGCAGTTTTCTAGGACCAAGTCTCTTCATACTCTACATAAACGACCTCTGTGATCATATTAAGAGCAATTGCGTTCTCTTCGCTGATGATGTAAAGCTGTTCAATACCACAGACAATACTGCTACCCTACAAAAAGATCTTGACTATGTATCAGAGTGGTCAAACAAATGGCAACTTCAAATCTCAACAAATAAATGCTCTGTCTTACATATTGGCAAAAAAAATCAGAAAATAAAATACAAGCTGAATAGTCAAGATCTTGTTGATGACTCAAGCTCTGTAAAGGACCTTGGAATACTCACCTCTAATGATCTAAGTGCTAGAGCCCACTGCAACTACATAGCCAAAAAGGCATTAAGAGTTGTTAACCTAATCCTACGTAGCTTTTTCTCTGGTAATATCACACTACTAACCAGAGCATACAAAACATTTGCTAGACCAATACTCGAATACAGTTCATCAGTCTGGAACCCACACTATGTATCTGATATTAGCACAATTGAGAAAGTCCAGAAATATTTCACAAGAAGAGTTCTCCACTCCTCTACTCGTTGTAGAATACCTTATGCCACCAGACTTGAAATTCTAGAACTTGAAAACCTTGAATTACGCCGTCTTCGGTCTGACTTAAGCATGGTATATAAAATCATACATTGCAATGTCCTACCTGTCAATGAATACTTCAGCTTCAACCATAACAACACAAGAGCACACAATAGATACAAACTCAAAGTAAACCGCACCAAACTTGATTGCAGGAAATACGACTTCAGCAATAGAGTGGTCAATGTCTGGAATACTCTACCCGACTCTGTAGTTTCTTCCCCAAACCCCAAAAACTTTAACCTTAGACTGTCTACTATTGACCTCACCCCTTTCCTAAGAGGCCTGTAGGGGGCGTGCATAAGCGCACCAACGTGCCTACCGTCCCTGTCCTATTGTTTCTCTTATTCTTTTATTTTTCTTATATGTACCCATTTCATGTATTCACATCTATGTATACATTTATACTTATTATCTTGTAAACAATTGGCAAATCAAATAAATAAATAAATAAATACAGGCAGTTACGTAGATGTTCCTACACAAAAGGTGCCAGGTTTTGACCTTGCACACCAGCATTGGTCAACTCTGAACAGGATCTGTACCAACATGGTGTCTGCCAGGACTTACTGTTTAAGTGGGGTCTTGTCTCTACCCCTTAGTGTGACTGTGGTGCTCCTCGACAAAATATCCATCACATTGTGTCCGAATGTCCATCAAGAGCTTACACCAGCCCAATGCCTGATTTTTTTTCAACACAGACCACCCTGTCCTTGAATGGCTTGGGTGGAACTACTTTAAGTCCATGTATTTGCAATGTGCTAAATAAATAAAACCAGAGAAGGATATACAGGTAGTCCTTGACTTACAACAATTCACTTAGTGACCATTCAAAGTTACAACGGCACTGAAAAAAGTGACTTATGACCATTTTTCCCACTTATGACATTGCAGCATCCCCAGGGTCACATGAACAAAATTTGGATGCTTGGCTACTGACTCATATTTATGACCGTTGCAGTGTCCCAGGGTCATGTGATCCCTTTTTGTGACCTTCTGACAAGCAAAGTAAATGGGGAAGCCGGATTCACTTAACAACCGTGTTACTAATTTAAGAACTGCAGTGGTTCACTTAACAGATGTGGCAAGAAACGTTATAAAATGGGGCAAAACTCACTTAACAAATTTCTCACTTATCAACATCAATTTTGGGCTCAGTTGTAGTCATAAGTAGAGGACTACCTGTATTACAGAGGAAAACCATACAGCCATGTGGTAGGCTTGCTCTTCTAACTTTTAAGCATTTTTTGCACCTAGGATTATGAGGCAAATTTGGACTTGATCCATAAATTTCATTTACAAGGTGGCAATTCAATACAGCAGAGGTCTCCAACCTTGGCAACTTTAAGACTTGTGGACTTCAATTCCCACAAGTCTTAAAGTTGCCAAGGTTGGAGACCTCTGCAATACAGAATTCCCAGAAATGTAGAACTTATATTACACTGAATGAAGCAAAATGTCGTGAGTTCTACCATGCTCATTTGTAAAGCGAGGTTCTCTGTGTCCGTCTGGTCATCTTGTTCAGAGGAATCAGTCTCTTCCATCTGCTGCATCTCCAATTCAGAAGGAAGCAGAGCTGTCAGGTAGGGTATTGCAAAAGGCCTGGCAGCTATCACTGAAGATAAAGAAGGAGAAATGACTTTAGAAACCAATCAGAAAAAAAGTGATTTCAGATTCTTCTCTCAGATAATCAGCCTAAAATATAAGAAGCATAGGAGGAAAGCTGGTTTTACAAAGAAAGAAGCAGATTATTTTAGATCATTTATTACCATACAAGCTGTGAAGAGATATACTGCAACTCTGTGTGTAATGGATGCATTATTGCACATGCTTTACACAGGGCTACCCTTGAAGAGTAGTTGGAAGCTATAACTGGTACAGAATACAGTAGACAGACAGTTCTGGAGGCTCCTCGGGTGACACACATAACACTGCTGTTATATGAGCTGAACTCACTGTCTATTTGTTTCTGGGTCTAATTCAAGGTGTTGGTCATCACCTTAAAAGCCATTTATGGGACAGATCCAGGGTACCTCAGGAACCACCTTACTCCAGTTGGACGAACTTGCTCCTCTCGTTCCAACGGAAAGGGTCTACTTTGGATTCTATCAGGCAAAGAATTTTAGTTGGCGGGATCCAGGAGAAGACCCTTTTCTGCTGTGGCCCCCACCTTCTGGAATATTCTCCCATATCCCTGACTTTCCCCAAACAGCTTAAAAGCTTGGCTCTGCCGTTTGGCCTGAGGGCCCAATAGGGGGCTGCTACATTGGGTGTGGCTGACAGTATAGATCAGGGGTGTCCAACCTTTCACCTTCCCTGGGCCACATTAGAAGATGAAAATTTGGTTTGGGCCGCACATAAAATAAAATTAAATAAAATAAAATTATTTTTATTATTTATTATTAATTATTTATTTTTTATTTTATAATTTTCCGGCCAAATTTTGCGGGGGGGGGAGGGGGGAAAGAAAGCTCGCCCGCCTCGCCCCTACCTCTCCTCCTGCAAATTATTTATTTTTTATTAATTTTCCGGCCAAATTTTGCGGGGTGGGGGGGAGGGGGGGAAGAAAGCTCACCCGCCTCGCGCCTACCTCTCCTCCTGCAAATGCAGCAGCAGCGGCAGCGGCGGCGGGGGCAGAAGCAGCAGCGGCAGCGGGGGCAGAAGCAGCAGCAGCGGCGGCGGGGGCAGAAGCGACGGCAGAAGCAGCAGCGGTGGCGATGGCAACAGCAGGAGGTGGCGGGGCGGGACTTTTGGGCTGCGGCTGCCCGCCTTTTCTGTTGCTCGCCTCGCCCCGCCTCGCGCCTGCCTCTCTTCCTCCTCCTCGCTGGATCTTTCACGAAGGTTGGGGTGGGCGTTGGGCCGCATTACGAGGCGACCTGGGCTGCATGCGGCCCGCGGGTTGGACAAGCCTGGTGTAGATGATTTGCATGCCAAAGGCACAGCTGGAACTAAGGTTTCCCCACTCCTGGTCCAGCACCTTAATCTCTAGTGCAAACATGCTCTACTAGGCTTAGTAAACATATTAAAAAAACAAAACACATCTCAACACACACACACAAAAGAAAACCTTCCAAAAATGTTAGTCCCCATTATCTCCACCATCTCAACTACATACAGTTGTACTCATAAGTTTACATACTCTAGCAGAATTTATGATTTCTTGGCCATTTTTCAGAGAATATGAATGATAACACAAAAACTTTTCTTTCACTCATGGTTAGTGGTTGGCTGAAGCCATTTATTATCAGTCAACTGTGTTTACTCTTTTTAAATCATAATGTCAACAGAAACTACCCAAATGACCCTGATCAAAAGTTTATATACCCCAGTTCTTAATACGGTGTATTGCCCCCTTTAACATCAATGACAGCTTGAAGTATTTTGTGGTATGTGTGGATGAGGCTCTTTATCTTCTCATATGGTAAAGCTGCCCATTCTTCCTGGCAAAAAGCCTCCAGTTCCTGTAAATTTTTGAGCTGTCTAGCATGAACTGCACGTTTAAGATCTCCCCAGAGTGGCTCAATGATATTGAGGTTAGGAGACTGAGATGGCCACCCCAGAACCTTCACTTTATTCTGCTGTAGTCAAAGACAGGTCGACTTGGCCTTGTGTTTAGGATCATTGTCATGTTGGAATGTCCAGGTACGTCCCATGCGTAGCTTCCAGGCTGATGAATGCAAATTTTCCTCCTTTCCTTTTGATAACATACTGCATTTATCTTGCCATCAATTCTGACCAAATTTCCTGCCCCATTGTAGCTCACACATCCGCTAAACATCAACGATCCACCTCCATGTTTCACAGTAGGAATGGTGTACTTTTCATCATAGGCCTTGTTGACTCCTCTCCAAATGTAGCATTTATGGTTGTGGCCAAAAAGCTCAATTTTGGTCTCATCACTCCAAATGACTTTGTGCCAGAAGGTTTGAGGCTTGTTTCTGTGCTGTTTGGCGTATTGTAAGCGGATACTTTGTGGCATTTGTGTAGTAATGGCTTTCTTCTGGTGACTCCACCATGCAGCCCATCTTTCTTCCAGTGCCTCCTTATTGTGCATCTTGAAACAGCCACACCACATGGTTTCAGAGAGTCCTGTATTTCACCTGAAGTTATTTGTGGATTTTTCTTTGCATCCTGAACAATTTTCTTGGCAGTTCTGGCTGAAATTTTAGTTGGTCTACCCGACCATGGTTTGGTTTCAACAGAACCTCTCATTTTCCACTTCTTGATTAGTGTTTGAACACTGCTGATTGGCATTCTCAATTCCTTGGATATCTTTTTATATCCCTTTCCTGTTTTATACAGTTCAACTATCTTTTCCCGCAGATGCTTTGACAATTCTTTTGCTTTCCCCATGACTCATAAGCCAGAAACGTCAGTGTAGCACTGGATGAAAGATGCAAGGATCTGTCAGGAGTCCAGGAACTCATTGACCTTTTATACACACACACTAATTACAAGCAAACAGTTCGCAGGTTAGGATGGTTACCTTTAATAACCATTCAAACCCCTTTGTGCCAACCTGTCTGCATGTTATCAGGCCAAAATCACCAGGGTATGAAAACTTTTGATCAGGACCATTTGGGTAGTTTCTGTTGTCATTATGATTTAAAAAGAGTAAACACAGTTGATTGATAATAAATGGCTTCAGCCAACCACTAACCATGAGTGAAAGAAAAGTTTTTGTGTTATCATTCATATTCTCTGAAAAATGGCCAAGAAATCATAAATTCTGCCAGGGTATGTAAACTTATGAGCACAACTGTATATAGATGACTTTCGGCTGCAAAAAAAGTTACCTGCCTTTCATCCTAAGCACTAAGCATCGTATTGAAACAATGTATTCTCCCCCCAATGGCAGCTTAGACACCTCTTACAAGGAAAAGTGCTGACATCATCTTTGAAAAGACTCTGTGTCTCTCCAGTTTTTGCCATGAAGCGGGTCAAAGCTCTTTCAACATCTCGTCTCTGTGAAGCAGCTTTTTCTCGTAAGATCTGATAATCCAGTACAGGCTCCCGATAGGTCTGTAGGCAAAGGGAGGGAAAACAGAAATAGAGATTGTGCATTAACTTATCACATGCCTTTCTCCCACTCATTTGGTGGGGGTGGGGGGGCGGCAAAAGAGCCAGTCACTCATGCACATCCAATGGAGAATCAAAGCTTTTTATTCATGGCATGTCTTCCAAAAATAGCAGAATTTATATTCTAGGAAACTGAAATATACTACAATACATCTAACACTGAGGGAAAAAATTTTCTGGATATAGTTCTGTTTTATTTTATGATTTTTAACAATATATTATTATTGTTTGTGTAAGACTTACTGGTGTTTTGATATAAGTATGAGGATCCGGAAACTCTGGGAAATGGCTAGGGATGTGAGAAGGATGAGGTTTGTTCTGTCCAGCTGTCAGGGCTTTTGGGGTCACAGGTTGATTTGTTACAGGTGCTGCAATTGAAAATGGAAATTTGATGATGACAACTTCTACCACAATGCTATCAGTCAAGCTGAAAAGAAAGATAATGCAGTTCTGCCACAACTTGTTCAGACAAATGGAATGAGAACATTGTTCAGGAAGCAAAATATGAAAAAGCAAAATATTTAATGCAGGCCAATCCTGAAATAACACATGCTAACTAATTAGAAACCATCAAAACCATAGAAAATTCTACTTGGATTTGTCTTCCTCTTTTCCATTGATCATAAATCCAGTGCCCTCATGTACTTTTTCCATGTTCTCAAGTTTAATAACAAGGAACATGGATAAAAAAAAGGATAATAAGATCTATATACAACCAGTTCATATTCAGGGCTGTTCTAAATTCCTTAATTAGCCTGATTTTCTAAGCAAAGGACAGAGATCCTTTAATGGCTGTTAAAAATGGGATTATCACTCACCTATTATCAGCTCTGAATAAATAGTCCCACCCAGATATGGACCCTCTGATTTCAATGAGAGATACTTAAAGGTCTACCAGATGCTCCTTTAACCACTGATTTCAACAGAAGTTTGATGGCCATTAAATCTGCTTAAAACTGCAGATACAGTATATTGTTTAAGTGTACCACAGACATTTTTAATAAAATACTAATGCAATAGCTTGAAAATCCATATAATGTGCAATAGACATAAGTCAAGCATGCTAACCTTTCATTCTATATAAATAGCTAAGAAAGTCGATTTCAAGAAAAGCAGGCTTCCCAACAGAAAAAGGTACATAAATATTTATTTAATGTGTATGTCTGCTATAGAAATTATTCTTACTTTTGAGAATACAATACCATATTAAAGAGAAATTAGCACAACCCTAAGTCACCTAAGCAAACTTTTGACCTAATGCATTGCATTTCTTCTTGGGAAATACATAAAGAAATAACAGCATACTAGACAACAGCTTACATACGTGCAGTGATTACCATCCGCTGGGAACGTTTAGCATATGCAGGGAGCATCTCCACATTAAAGCCTAGAATATACAAAAAGAAACAGCATTTGAGCAAGTCAGATCCAGAATGCATTTGAAATTAATCAATTAATTAAATTCAGATGCACTAGTTGGGCTGAGGAAACATACAGCAGTATTTTATTATTCCCCTCTCTATTTCTACCACTGTATTTCCCAACTGGGCAACTTCCAGCTTGTGGATTTTGAGTCCCAGGATTCTTAACAATGGCTATACTAGTTGGATAATTCTGGGAACTGAAGTCAATCTACTTGGAAGCTGCCCAGCTAGGAAATATTGCTCTACAGAGTTCTACATAGGACCTGGGCCAGTAGAATAAGAATATATCCAAATAATCAGTCTGTTTTGACAAGTTGATATACATCTCCTAAGAATGCAGTCAATCACATGTATAGAGTCAATAACAAAGTAAGATCTGCCTGTAAACAAAACAAAATTGAAAAGAGATTATGTTGTCTTCAGCTGCTCTGATATAGTATCTGTCAGCTATGGAATCCTTATTCATTGCTGCCACACAGCTTGAGAAAGTGGGAGGGGGGTGATATTGAGTAGCTCTTAGTAAGACAAAATAGAATTATTTTGTTAGTTCAAGGTCAAGGAGTGTGGCGCAGAAAGAACTGGAACTTACTTTGGGATTGGTTCATGTGATGTGATGATGAGTAAAAAGGGGGTGGTTTGTAGGTTGGGACATTGTGGGAAGTCCGGGAAACTTTTAGTTTCGAAATTCCACAGATGTGCCAGGTGCTATTATAATAAAAGTACTTTTGAGATTATGCTTGTCTTGGAGTTATTGATCGGAATGGATGTTCCCTGGAACACTGACAGCATCCATGTACACATGATCTGCACTCAGTTCTCACTTTTATCAGATTGCAGAAAAATATGTGTAAAATCTACTTCATACTGAATATAATAAGTATTTTACATTGAATGTTATATTGCAAAATGTACATCATCTCTCCAAAACCTTATATAAACATAATTCAGCTCTCCTGCTCAGAAAAAGGAGGATAAATGGATGGACTAAAAGGGCACTCAAAGATCCAAGAATGAAGAAAAGCATCCCAAAGCTCTATAAGTCTCTGGTTGCTAATCTTCATGATTTGATTCAGTAAATCTAGGATTCATTTTGAGGAAATCAATTGTACATCCTATGTCCGTGATGGCGAACCTATGGCACGCATGCCACAGGTGGCACCCAGAGCCATTTGTGCTGGCATGCGAGCCGCAGGCAAACTTACCTCACTGTGCATGTGCATGCCTCACAGCTGATTTTCACAGGGCTTTTTTCAAGCCTCTGGGAGGCCGAAAATCAGTTATGAGGCACAGTGCAGGTAAGGGAGGGCGGCAGGGAGGCAGCGGGGGAGGGGGAGATTGTGCACGCATACACAGGGGGCATGGGGAGGCGCGCAGTGCCTTCTGGGTGCTGGCATGCGAGCGCGCCAGCGCACACACACTTTTTGGCACAGGAGCCCAAAAAGATTAGCCACCATTGTCCTATGTAGATAAACCATATCAATAGCCCACAGATACAAATCTATTCCCCGTCTATAGCACAGAAACAGGAAAATATACCATCGTCTTGGCACTTACCCATTTCAACTAAGGTGACCACAATATCTGAAAGGGTTGGCTGTGTCCTTGCAGTATGTTCACAAAAAGACTTGGCACTCCTCCCTATTTCGGAAATATCTGACAAAAGAGAGTTCACCACAGTACTTAAGTTTGAAACCTAGAGTCACTTACATGTTCAATATCAATCTAATTCTGAATTAAGAAAAAACTAAATCTCTGAAAAGCATATTTGGTCTAGTGGTTAAGGCCAGAAAGCAGGAGACTCTAAGTTCTAATCCTACCCTAGCTTTAAAAGCTAGCTGGGTGGCTTTGGGCA